GGAAACTTTGTTGAGAAAGTCTGCATTTGGTTCTATTTCTGTGCAGTTAATTTTTTAATGATGTCTACACTTGGTAGCAGGACATAACGTGCACAGACAGTGAGATGCATTCAGTCCCTAATTCATTTTGGAGGAGGTAGAATGGCTGCACATTATACTTTTGTATTCTGATTTATCATACTCTTCCTTTGAAAATCTGATTACTAAGGACCTTGGTAAATTGAATCAAATAAGAAGTATCTTCTAATACTAATGGAGTAAATAGCATTTAGTTGTTAACTGATTAATGTAGAACTTCAAAATCTGTGTAAATGGCATCATCAAGAAAAGCATAAATCTTTGATTTAAGTGTATTTAAATCATTGCAGCATGGATTCACTTGTATAACATTTTCCAGTAAACAAGACTAGGAAATCTTTTAGATTCATGCTTCAAAAGTGGACCAATTTCTCATTTGTTTGTTTCTAATAATTGTTTTCATTAAGCTCAGAGCTGCACAATATCAGAGTTCAGTAGGCAGGCCAGGACTCTGCTCCCTCCTTGGTCATTGAATGGCTCTCAGACTTGAGCCCTGACATGCAGAGAGCAGGAGTGTGTTAACTTTGCTGGAAACAGGGAACAGCTGTCTCTGCAAATTCCAGTTTATATTTCTGACAATTGTACAAAGCTTTGAATTTTCTGTGAAATGAATGGCAGTCTCAGTACAGGTGCTGGGTAGTGTATTTGAGCAGCCTGAGGCGCAAGTTAGTAGGGAGAGCAAAGCTGCAGACCCTGCCTTGTGGCTCCTGGGTGATCCATGAGCACAGCCCGGTCTATTTGTGGGCAGGAGAATTGTTGCTCCCTCTGGAATCCTCCCTTGCTCTCCAAGTCAGCATTTTCAAGGTTATGTGGGGCTGCTTTTGTTTGGTTTTTCTCCTTTCCTCTCCTTCATCACCTTGGGCACTTTTCTCCAGTCCTTTTCCCACCTCTGCCTTAACAGAAGTTTCCCAGGGGGAACTAATTTGTTCCAAATACAGATGTTTGCCAGGTTGTCCACCTTTTGTCTCAGGATTCCTCTCCAGGCTCTCAGCTATAACATTAATCTTTATTTATTTGCTTTATTTGAGTGGGGCTGGTGCTGTTTGAGTTCTAGTCACAGGAGCCCAGAGGTTATAATGTTAATATAGGTTTATTTATATAATTGATGTGAAAAGCAGCTGGAAAAAGCTCTTGTTGTGCAGGTCTCTTATATGAATCTTCAAAAATCCACTTTCCTAGGAAAGGTCCTGACTTTTCCCAAAAAAAAGAAAAAAAAAAAAAAGCACTTCCACATTCAAGAAAGGTTTATACTACTGTTATGTCAGGGGTAAGGGGTAAAGCAGAACTTTTCCCACAGAGTTTGGAGGATTCATCCATCAATTCTTCCACTTGAAGGAGGGAGCTGTGTACAAACTTGCTGGGGAAGCTGTGGGAAGAGGCCAGTGTTTGTTGCTTGCAGGAATTCTGTTGATTTATCAATTAACAGAAGCTTGTTTAAGAAATAAATTTTCACTTTACCTTTCCACGTTCCTTTTTCACATTACCTTTCCAAAGTGTGTCCACTTTGCATGTTGAACATAGATTTTTATTTTTCACCCCCACCCTTCTAATCCTATTTTCTGTCCTGAATTGGATTGGTACAAGTTATTTTAATTACAGTCATTCCTGGGGTCTTTTGACAACAATGATATCAATAATTAAAGAAAAAAAATCACCTTCATTTACCATCTCTTTAGAAGAAAAAGAATGGATTTCTTCTGTCATGGGTAGTGCAAAGCTTCCTATCTCCATCTACACTGCCAGCAAGGAGCTGGAACTCTTGATGCCTCTTAGAGAAATTGGATTAAGTGGAGTAGATCCCAGATCCTCTTCCCAGAAATATCTCTGCTCATTACAAGTCACTTTAGTGGGTTTATATGTGGTAATTTTCATGTCAGAATCCAAAATGAGGGACCCAGTGGTTTTTTGTGTACCAAGATTCAGGATGCTGCCATCATAAAACTCAGGAATGACTTTGCTTCATCTCTTGGGGTTTTTTATGATTTATCCTCTAGGCTGTGCAAGAGAGAGCAGTCAGAGCACAGCACTGACTGATTCTGTGATCTGCTGGCTGCAAAGCTCCTGTGTGTGCAGGGCTGGACATCATCTCAGAGCTGGTAACAGCGCTCCTCCCTGTGAACGGGGAGAGGGCTGCATAGACAAAGTGCTGAGCACTTGTGGGAAAGAGCATTACCAGATTTTAGGCTGAATAATAATAATAATGGGGTGAATTTTAGGATGAATATTGGGGTATAATGTTGCTGATGTGATGAAGAAGAATGCACATTTCACTTCTGAGTGTTTGGATGGGACAGCAGTGCTGAGGGTGAAGAGCACAGGTGTGACATTGATCCTCCACTCTTACATGCAAGTCCTCTTACTTCCTGTCTACTGAAGTAGGTGTCTGTTTTTGTCACCTGTAAAAGATACTAGAATTGGTAGATTTTCTTTCATGAGATTTGTTGTGAGCTGTTTGAGCTTTTAGTTGCAAACCCAGGTAATGCTCTGCCCCTAACATTCAGTCCTTTCAGCTTGTTGAGATAATTTTAGGGCAGAACCTCATTTGTGTCCTTCCTACTAAAATCTGCAAATGCTGTGTTGGTCTGTAGTGTAAAGCCAGTGCTGGGATTTTGTTTCAATTAATCAGTTTGCTTACCAGACCCTATTTTCTCCTGAAAAAACAGAGCAGCTCCTAAGGGCTGCCTTCCTGCTTTTTTTTCTCCTTTTCCCTGTCCTACATGGGACACAAGAAATTATCATTCAGCTGCATGGGGAGGTGAATAAGGATGGGCTGTGGTTTGCTCCCCCACTCGGTCTGCAACACATAAAATTCCTTCAATCTTGTTTTAATCCAGTCTGTGGAAGTTTAGAAACTAGAACCAGATTATCTCTGCTATGAAAATTGGCTGAATTAGAGGAAATTTCAGGGACAAAATGTTATCCAAGCACTTACACTCCCAGGTGTGGATCACCAACACAAGGTTGCATTACCAATCTCAATGAATCTATGGCTGGTATTATTAAAAATAATCAGGCAAGCAAAGATTCATCTTTTATTCTGTGTGCTTTGCTGCTAGTGTGAAGCACAGGGTTTGGCATTTACTCATGGATGCACATATGGTGATTCCAGTTGACTCAAAATAGCTCCATTCTATGAACCCAAAGTTGAGATATTTTTTGTGTGAATTGGAGCTCCACAGCTTTTCCTCAGTTCTCTTTGACAGTAGGGTACATAGCACCAAATCTGCAGGCTTTAAATCTATCTGCAGGGAAAAATCTGTTCAGAACAAGTTCTAAATAATTTGCACTTAGTTTGTCATAGGAAATACAAGGACTTTTCTTGTGCATCACTTTCCTGGATTGACCTAGGCAAGCAAGGATATTTGCAGGCTGTGTTTTGGTAACTGAGTATGCTGTTATGTGTTTTTAAAATGGTGTTGCAAATGGACAGGAGCTCTTAGTGTGTTTGATAGAATCAAAGAAAAACTTGATGTTGATTATCATTACTATTTTGTGATTTGTGTAGGGAGTAGTAATTAAATTACACTTACTTTGCAGTATTATATTTGCAACTGGACATAAATATTTTGGGTTTGTTTTGCTGTCTTCAACTTGTAATGTTTTTAACATTTATCTAAATACTGTAGAAATCACATGTCAGTCAACAAAGTGAAACAGCATCTCTATTCAAGTTTTGTTTACTGTAAAGATTCTGAGCTTCTTAATGAATTTTCTATCAGCATCTGGATTGTCTGGAAAAAACACCTCAACAACCAACAATCCAGGATATCCTTTGTTGCATTTTTGCATCTTTTTCTTTCCAGTTTTTTCTTTCATCTGTAATCCTTTACTAAGATCTCTTACAGGCCTTTAGCATAGCCCATCTTTTATCTTCCTTGTCTGTGCCTTGCAGTAAATCCCAGCACTGCAGATGTCAGTGGTGGCTCATCTCTCAGCCAAGTGTGTTTGCTCAGCTCTGGAGCAGAGCTTGCAGCCAGGCTTTGCTCTCCCCTGGGAGGGAGCAGGAGGAGCTGGGCACCCCCAGGGGCTCTCAGGGCTCCCCTGCCCCTGAAAAGAAGGGATTTAAGAAGACTGGGGGCAAGTTTCAGGTTTTGTTTCTAATGTTCAGCATTATTGTTGTGCAAATGGCTCCCTGTGTGCTGAGTGTGCATGTCTGCAGTGGGTGTTTGACAGGTGTGTTCTGGGGCTTTAAGGCTCTCTCTGCCTTTGCCTCCTCTCCCTGGGCAGTGCCAGTGAGGGGAGGTGGTGCCCTGGTGCCAGGGGTGCCCAGCTGTGCCCAGGGGCAGGTGGTGCCCTGGTGCCAGGGGTGCCAGCCCTGCCCTTGGAGCTCTGGCCTGGCCTCCCAATGCTCCCTTGGGGCTGCTGCTGCTGTTTGAGTCTCAACTCTGAAACAGAGGGAAGATGGAAACTCAGTTTTGTCATCCTCATTCCAGGGCAATTACTTTCTTGAATACAGCAAAGCCATCTTCTGTGATTGCAGTCACCCAAAATCGGGCTTATGGCTTGTGCTCATAGCTGATTAACTCCAACAAAGAGAAAACCTGTTCTGCTGACAGGCATTTGGGAGCTTTCATGGCCTGCTACTCCTCCACACCTGCTGGGCTGCACATTTCTGACTCTTTGGGAAGATACCTGCTTGTTTATAGAAACAGAGTTTCAGGAATGCACACAAAATGTTTATTATGACTGCTTGTTAACTCTGTAATGCAGAAATGTCTTGGACATCCAATGAAACTGTTACTGCTGCTAGATAGAGCAGGCAGGTTGGATATGACAAATGCTGATTTCTTCTTTCTCTTTTCTTTTCTTAAAATGACTATTTCAGTAATTTACTGAATTTCACTATTTTAGGTGTTGTCATGTCCCATTTCCCCTTCCACAGCAAATAAAAGTAGAATGAATTTTCTTTGTTGGTTTTTCAGGCGTTCAAAAGGGATGTTCTTGCTGATTCAAGAGCAAGCAGTTCTGTCCAGGACTCTACACTGGGGATAAGGACATGGGACTCCTCCTGCCAGATTCCAGCTGGTTCATCACAACTGACATCTTGGCTGACAACTGTGAAAAGGATCTTCGGATTATTCCATTTGATTTTTGTGGGAGACCACAATCCCCAAACTCTAGGACATATCAGGTACTAAATCAAACACTAAGCTTTTCCATAACACTCTTAGGATTGTTATTTGTTTCATATGAGGAGCTTAGGCATTCAGATCTTACTCTATTTCTTGTAGGAAATGGAAAATCCTTGGTTTTACATCTTGCAGTAGCTGAGTAATGACAAGGAGTTGTGTTTCTTCTTTCCCATGGAAAATTTGGGGCTTAATTATTTATATAACATTTAAAATTATTATTATAAATTGTAATTGTTGATCATGGTTATTATCCTAATTACTAAATTGTTTATTTCTTTCTTCTTTGTTATTTTTGAGAGAATGCTTAATTTTATTAAGACTAGTTTTGCTACAGTTTGTAGTAAGGTAATTCCTGCATTCAGAACTTGTCCAGTCAACAAGGAAACTTTAAAAGTTCATTAAATTTATGAATGTTTGTTATGATTCATCTATTTACTTCTAACCCTTTAAAGATAAATCTACATGTGATTTTCTTTTCCTTTGAGAAAATCTTGCCTTGTTTCTGTTGGAGCCTAGTTTGATTTTGAGTATCTGAATGTTCAGGTGTTTTTTTTTTAAATGTGGAAGAGAAAATCTGTGAGCGTTATCCAAGAGTGTAGCTCTCAATTCTTTGTGTGGAAGTCTGCTGTTACAGACCACTGATAAAAGTGGTTAAAAACAAATCACTCCTCCTAATACAAGACAGAAAATGTGTCATAGCAGAGGGGGGATCCTTTTTGCAAAATCATCTTTATTTTGGGTAGCTCTTTAGGTATGGGTGGCTTTTTAATTCATTTTAAATTACTCAATAATTAACTTTTTCTTTGTCCTAAAGGTTCCATATTTCTTGTAGAATTTTAAAATAACCTTTTCTAATGAGGATGTCTGATATTCTTACTGTAAAAGATGAAACTGATACAATGAAGGGTTCAGAAGCTGAATTTAAAGATACAGACCCAGTTGAAAACCTCAAAAAATCAGGAAGTGAGGAAGAGATTCAAGTGGAAAAGGATGAAAATTGTCCTGATAACAAAAACAATATGCCGGTAAGAAACTTTTCACTTTATTCTTCCCTGTATGTCATGTGAAATGTCTGTGACTGCTTGTTCTCCATTCTCTTGATCCTCTTGTATGTTTCTTTGGTACAGTGAGGAAAACTTTGTTGGTTTTAGGGAAGCAAATATGATGATTATTGCTTCCTCTCTCCTCCTTGCCCCACTTCTCTGTTTATACTCACATAAATATGACTCAGTCATTTTTCTTTCTGTGAAGTAGAGGAGTGGTCTTGCTGGGAACCAGACAATTTGCCCATGTTTGTGTTTCCCTGAGTGTCTATGTGAAGTCTTTCATTGTAGCAGAACAAGAAACAAACTCAGGCTGGCTTTTGCTGCTGATCCTGCCAGAGTTTGGAGCTGGGCTGTGTGTGCTGTGTTGCTGCTTTGGCCATGGGGCTGCAGCTCAGCCAGGCAGGGCTGGCCAGCCCAGGGCTTTTGAGCTGTTGCACTTTCAGGTGCCTCAGGTGTGGATTTTGCAGCAGAGCTGTTCAGCACAAGGCTGCAGTAATCAGCTGTAGGTAATCCAAATGCCAGGAGCCAGAGGGATCCAGAGCTCCTGAGGCCAGCAGGCCTGGCTGCTGCCCCAGCCACCTGCAGAATGAGCTGGGCAGCCTCATCCTGCCTTGGTGGGCAGCACATCCTCCCTGCACCTTCTCCTCTCTGATCTTCACTGCTTGACAGCTCTGGGAGGTGACTTTTAGCAGGAAAGCTGAGGCAGTTCCTTGTGCACACACTGAAAAGCTGAGGCATAGAAATGGATGGCTTTGGGAGGTGGGAGAAGTGAAGTACCTGTAAGGAAGTCGTGGCATCACATTTCAAGTGAGAAGGAGGCAAAGCAAATAGTGTGAAAATACCTTGTGTTAATGGAGAACACACTGATAAGGAAGGGTTAGGAATTCGTGGCAGCACATTTAATCTAATCTGAGATTTAGGTGTGAGAGAGCTCACTCCTGGCTCAGGCTGCCCACCTGAGAGCTGTCAGCAGCTCACATGAGGGAGGAGTTCAGGAAAGCTACTGAAAATTTCTGACACAACCCACACAACAGGCCAGATTTGTAAAAGGAAACACAGAAACTTGTGTTTGGCAAAAACTATCGTTGTCTATAGGAATTTCGTGTCTGTGGGTTAATACTAAACAAATTTTTATAAAAATCCTGATTGGGATCTGAGTGATCTCTTGTGGGTTGCAAAAACAGGACAGTAGCTTATTAGATTCTTGTTATTGAGATTTGAGTAAGAGGCTCTTTGGGGAGTAGTTTTGTTCAAGACTAACAATTCAATATTCCACTGAGTAAAGTAAGCTTCAGCTGCTCTGTTAAATTGCTTCCAGATAAATCTTGTAGACCACTGCAATAACAATAGTTTTACACTTTAATATCTGCTGGCTTTATTAAGGCTGGCATCAGTGTAAATAGATAATTTTATGGAAAAAAATAAATCCTTGAAATGAAATATTTCTCTTGCAACATGAGAAATAACTACTGCTGAAAAGCTGGGAGATATTATAGCTGAGCTGGTGCTTTCTTTAATTAATGGAATATTCTAGTACTGAGCCTTAAAAATTAATCTGGAGTTTAGTTATTTTCATGCAGTTGAGTAATTTGGAAAAAATCTCATTCACATTTTTTCATTTAACAAATTTTAGTGTGGAAATTTCTATGAGACTCAAGTGGCAAGTAAGAAATAAACATTCCTGCAAACAACTGCTGCTGCCTCCTCAGAGTGCAGAGGGATGAATGAACGTGGCAGTGGCTGTGGGCAGGCAGGGGTTCATTGCTCCCAGGGCTGGGGGCTTGTTCAGGAGCAGGAGCTGGGGGCTGAGGTGAGGATCTCACATGCACAAAATGGACTGGGCACTGTGAGGTGAAGGCTGGTGGGTACAAACAGCTCTGCTGTCAGTGTGGTGTCCTGCAGTGTCCATCAGAATCACAACATTGATGTTACCTGAGCAGTTCATTCAAAACTCAGGCTGGGGGTGCAGATTTCCAGGGTGGCAGGAAGACAGACAGACAGTTACCAAATGGAACCTGGCTACTGTCAGCAAGCCCCTTGCAACAACTGAGATCAGCAGAACTTAATGTCACTTGTACTGTGGAGGCTGCCAGTGCAAATATATAAGCCTCATATTTGAGGAGTTCCCATTTAAAGCATGTTTTATGCTAAAATACAAAACAAAAACTTGGGGTTGTCCATAGTAAAAAACCCTTGTGGAACAATAGTATTCAGCAAGTTTTTATCTAATGGATGGTTAAACAGTTTGATGAAGTTTCAGTGGACATAGTACTTGTCATTAAGTGCAGGTTGAATGTTACTGTGTGGTGGGAAAAAGTGCAAAGAATTTGCTGAGAAATGTTAGAAAGGATTATCAGGAACTTACTGGAATTTGTTGTGTACTTTGTTTACTAACTGAGTGCTTCAGAGGATGGGTTGGGTATGGAGGTGGTGTGGAGTTGGGTTTGGCTCTCCTCCCTGGTGGCAGAATAGGTTTGGTACCTCCTGACAAACTGCAGTCACATTCCCCAGTACAGTTAGCACTTCATTTTTGACTTCTTTAGGCCATGGAAGAAACAGGCTGTGATTTTTCCTCTGTCTGAACTTGACATTCCATCAATGGAATACTCAATGATAAATTTAATGCTTAATTTATCAAGTAGATCATCTAACCATGTTCCATCATCAACTTTGATCTTAGCTACACCTTCCTTCCATTGCTGTGTGCTCTTATGAATGGATTCTGAATGATCAGATAGGTTCCTGCAGCACATTCCATCGTGGGCCATTGAATTCAGGCATGTTTCTGGAGCAGCACAGTTCAGAAACTGATGGTTGTATTTTGAAATGTAACTGTGATTGTAAATTCCAGATTATCTGGAGGTTGTGCATTAATAACTGATTGGCTGCTGTGTCTGCTGTTGGAGGTATGAATAGGAATTTAGGAAAAGACCTAATTAGAGTGCATGGCCAGCACTCCCAATTTCTCTAAGCAGTGCACAAGTAGTGTTACTGATACAGAGAACATTTCTAAGCTGGCATATTTGCAGTGAGGTTCAAGTGTCATTGAAATGGCACTGGAGACAAGAGGCACTGTTATGAAAAGTACTTTGACAGAAGTCATGTGCACATCAGCACCATGGTGGATTTTGTGATCAAAAGGGTTTTGGTTCACCAGTCACTGCTGTCCTACCTGTTCATCTTACCCAGGCCAGGTGCCAACCAATGAATTCAGAATTAGCTGGAATACAGGGTCTGTGTTGCCTCTGGCTCTGGATGGTGAGACAGTGTCACCCATTGTAAGGACAAAGCTGCAGGAAATACTGACAACAAATTAAAGATCCTGGATTTATCCTGCAAAACAGTCCCTTATGGTTATTATTAGAAAGACTTCTGTTTTAAAACCCAAAAAAGCCTCATGGCATGAGTGCAGGGTTGTACCCATCTACTGTGTGATAAAGGCAAGGCAAATGTTGTGTTAAGTGAGTCTAATTCTGGTTTTGCTTTATGCTAATTAGGCATCCTTGTCCTTTGGGGTAATTAGATAATTTTTTTTACTTAGCAAGCTGACATCTCTCTTCCTGCAAGTATCTTCCTTCTGTACTAACACAAACCTTGAGCTTCCCTCTCTGTTTCACAGCTGAAGTTCTCTGAAGTCTTTTTTTGCCTCTTCCCCAGTCTTGTCAGGATTTACCTGTCTTTGTCTCCAAAATATGGGATGTAATACTTTTGAATAGATAAATGATTGGGCAGATTCTCTTATTCTTGAGCTGCCTCCATGTCCAAGGGTGAAACTATTTTTCCATCAGTCATCCTCTACTGTGTCATGGAAAATTGCTGTCACTGCTCACTAATGCAGGACAGCAAGTGACCATGGACCACACTGTTCTTTCCCTCAGCATTCCAAAGCTATCCATGGCTCTGGGACTGCAGCCCTTGACTGGATTTAAAATTGAGACCTAATTTTGCAGAAAGGTAAAAAACTGAATGTCCTTAGAGGACTCTTTGTTGAGGTTTGTCATGTTGTGCCTATCCTCAGAAATGCCCAAATGGTGCTTCAGAAATAAAACCCCTTCTCACAAAACCCTTCACACGTCTGAGTTTGCCATCTTGTGCCTGACCTGTTTTTATCCAGCTTGTTTAAACAGCACAGTGATGGTAGAGGAAGGGATGTAACAGCTCCAGATCTTTTCTTTGCATTTAGTATATGTGAGCTGGTGAGGTACTTAGGAAAAAATAAAGTAGGCAAATACTCCTACTGAAAACCTGGTTATTTATATGTTTCTGATAAAGGCTGTCTTACTTCCCTTTTTATTTTGCAGTTGGAAATGTAGCATAGTAGCTGGTCTTAAAAGTTGTGTTGGTGGGGTTTCATCAAAGGCAAGAACCGAATCATTATTTTCATTATGCAATTATTTGAAATACTTGCTTTTAAACACTGTCTTGAAATTCTGCCCATAATGGCTATAAATAGGGCTTTCATTAACACAGTGTTTTCTTAAGGCAGTGAAAGTCTTTGAGAGCTGCAAATATAAAGAAATTGCCTAATTTGCACTCACCAAGGATTGCATATTCTAAATGAGCTAGAAATTATTTTTCATAAATGGGGAACATAAAGATGTTCTGTAGGAGCAAAACTTTATAAATGCAGAGAAATTAGGACAGAGATAAAATTCATGAGCCTGAAAAGAGAGAAAATGTGCATTAACAGCTACAATGTACATTGGCTACCTGCTGTCCCAGAATTCCAGTGGAAGTGGTGTCATCCTCTGTCAGTGTGGTTTTATCCAAGAAAGGAATAATTGGATTGTACCCACCCATCTCAAGCTCTGAGAGGGCAGTTGGTGGTGGTGCCAGAGGAATTTGGGGTTTGTGCTTCCAGGCCAGCCCTTGCACCTTTGGGCTGTGCTGACCTGAGCTGTCCCTGCAGCCCCCCCAGCTCTGTTCTGTGCTTCTCCCCTGATGTGTGTGTGGTGCTCACTGCTCACAGTCACAGCTGGCCCTGGGGGACTGGCAGTCTGGGGTTTGACACCCTTGAAGTCACACAGGCAAGCCAGAAGTCCACATCTACCACAGGAATGTTGGACAGGGCAGTTGTTTCTAGATGAGAAGTTTGAATATGATGGGTGGAGTTATACTTGTCTCATCTGGGAAGGAAAACCTCCCTCCTACAGTGGCCCTCCAGCTCTCCCCAATATTATTGGTGTTTAGTCCCAACAACCATTTCTTCCTCTGATTTTTCAAATCACTTTTAAAAATAACTGAAAGATGTGTGACTTATCTGATTAGTGAGCAGTAGCTCAATGTCTGTATAACTGGGTTGAATTCCCTCTTGTGCCCTATCAAATCTGGATCCGGGGTGTTTCCTTCCATATATTCTTTTGGCTTATGTACTGGCTTCAAAGCTTGCAAAATTTTGCAAAAGTAAATAATTTCCTGAGTATAGATTCTTTTGTCTCTTGACAGTGAGCTGAGGACTCCACTGACAGTCCTGATGTGACTTTAAATTTACACAACTTGATTTGAACACACCTGAGCTGATTGAGGCTGGAGTAATTGATAGGAGCTTGGGAAATCATCCAGTTTTTGAAATTTAGTAGCTTGAAATTTTGTCAGGGATATGCAGTGCCAGCTTTCAGAATGCAAGGAATGCTTTCAGAGGAGATGATGGAAAGGAAAACATATTTTGCATGTAACAGAAAATCTCAAAGTCTCTGTGTGGTTCCAGGTATGGAAACAGTAAAACTCAGAGTCTGAATGGCTCCAGGTATGAAAGCATTTGAGCTGTCTCTGCTGCTCAAAATCTCAGCAAGCTTCCTTTACAAAGCTGCTGGTGAGTTCAGTTGGTTTTCAGTGCAGCTATTTAAAATTCTGTTACATAGTGAAATGAGCTCCCTTCTGCTGCTCTTCAGCTAAGCTGGTGCAACATCCAAAATAGACATGTGGGATTTGAGGAAAATGAGAGAAAAAGCAGTTCTGCCTTTACATGGTAGAGCTCTTTGCTGTAGGTGAGGTTTCTTTTTAGTGATGTTGTATGCCCTGCTAAGAAGTTCAGGTGCTTGTGAGACATCTCCTCTGAGCTAAGGCAAGGAAAGCTGCATTTATGGAGTTTTCCAGTGGAGTTTCACTTCAGTTTCCTTTTTAAAGGAAGAAATATTGTCCATTAAACAACACTTGAAATTGCATTACTGATGTTAATTTCTCCTTACAAATATTAGGCCTGTGTTCACTAAAACCTGTTCTGTTAAAAGCTTGTCTATTCATCAGTTTTAGTTCTCCAGGGAAACCAGTACTTAAATTATGTGATGTCACTCTAAATGTTTCTATTCTTGTGCTGCTGGCACTGAGGGTTGAGTTAGTTTTAACTATGCAGTTAACAAATCATTAAATGCTTTTGTTGATTCAAATGTACCTTTCAGCTGTGCATATTGTAGTAAAAGCCTGGTAATCTATTTTAAGGAAGAATTGTAATAGAAGAAGGGCTTTGGGAGGAAAAAGCAAATTATTGCATAATAAGTTACTAAAATGGCTCTGGGAGGAGAAAAAGCATATTAATTCATAGTAAATTACTAAATGAAAAAAAAATCAGTAGCCCATTTTAGAACATACTTGTATAGGTCCCAAGGTAAAAGAAAAAGATCCCACATGTTTTAAGCTGCTTATGATAGGTTATCATCTGTTATCTGTTCCCTTGGTAGGGGCAATGCTTTCCTTTTTTTAATATAATTTTTCTAGGAAGGTTTCAGGAGTAGGAAGGAAATTAATAAAAACCATGTCACGTTGCCAAGGAAATTAAGAAACAAGAATTGAAAGTGTGGCTGAGAGCTGGCTGAGAGAGTATGGCCACTGAGCAAGGATGATGCTTGGTTCCTGTACAAGTGCTCTGCTGTCTCTTGTTGCTCAATGAAGGAGGGAAATGAAGGCTGCGAGCGGGAGAGCCCCGACCCCGCAGCAGCTGCTGTTGGTGTCCCAGCGGTGCCGTGTCGGTGCTAACTGTCCCAGCTTTCTCCTGTACAGCCTGAGCATTAACACTGTGCCCTTCTCTGTTGTGCCCGTCCCAGCGGCCAGCGCAGTCCCTGGCACAGACGGCCAAGCGCTCCAAGGTACGGTAGCCCGGCGGGCCGGCATGCGGAGGGAGCCCTTCGTGCTTGGTGCAGCTTCGTTACTTTGTGCAAAGTGCCTTCAGTTTTGTTTTTTGGCATTGTAGCTTTGTTTTATTCTGTTGGGTTTTTGTCTTGCCTAGTTGTTTGCTTTTGTGATTTGCCTTTATATTTTTGGTGGCTTTTTATTGTAACGGAGAGAAACACTATCCCAGTGTTTGATTTACTTTTCTTTAGATGTGCTCTATTGTGCTGGTAGTGCCTTCAAAAGCTGCAATTGCTTGGGTATTTTCATTCTAAATCTATTGAAAACATGAAAAATGCTGTTTCCAGCAATTTTGTTTTTCATATAATGAATGAAAAAAATAACGGCTTATGGTATATTTATATTATCTTTTATAAGCCATAGATTTTAATTTTACATACTTTCCTTTAGTCAAACACAAAGTTAAAGTTAGTTCGGAGCCTTGCTGTATGTGAAGAATATCCACCACCTCCCACAGCTGAAATATCCCAGGACCTCCAGGTAAAAATCACCTTACTGAAGTTTCTGGAACTATTTCAAGTAACTTCTTGTTCAAAAGAAAGTCTGTTGGGTATTCTTTAAATATGTGGATACCATCTGGTTTTATTTTTTTTTTTATAGTGATCTAATAGAGGTGATAATATCAGGTGCAGAATTTGCTGCTTTTTTTTCCTGAGCTATGCTGGTTGATATCTGTGGGCAGAAAGAGGGGGGTTGTCAGTTCTTTTAACTTGTTAGTCCAACAGTGCACTTAAGGGACTCTTAAACTGCTTAAGTGCTGTCTGCAATTAGTAAGACAGAAACATTGTGATTAGTGTGGAGCCTAATTTACTGTCTTTGTACATTTTGAAAATGGAAACAGTTGTGATTTCTGGTGTTGTAACTGAATTTCTGCATATTAGTCCCAGTTGCTGGTAGCTCTGTAATACCTGCCTGAGGTATATCTGAATTAATCTGTTAAAATTATAGAACACACTTACAGAAGTTCCTACATGCTGAACAAAATACGTAAAATTACTTTAGAGAATTTAAACAAAATCCATATTTCCTGACTTTACCTCCATACCAGTCTGTGTTTTCAGAACAAAACCCTGCTGCTGGCTTTAGTTCTGTGCATGAGTGAGGCCCATCAAAATGCTGGGTTTGTTCATGCTTATCAAAACAGAAAAGGGCCTTTGCTGTTATTGAAAAGCTTCTAAACTGTGCTTTTGTGAAAAGTCTGCCTTTGGTTAAGAAGGAAGCAGTAGAAAGCAGGATGTGAGGGGGTTTTGCTGGAGAGGTGGTAATTCAGTTCTGAGGAAAGATGGACATTGAGAGCTCATGTGGGTTTTTGTCAAGCTAATTAAAATTTTTTGAGACTGAAACAGTAGGTTTGGACTAAAACCCTCCAGGTTTGCAGGGTTTTGTTCCTTTGGAAAAATAAGAAAATAGTATTTTTGTAGGCTTTTATTAATATAGCAGAATTTGAAGTGTTGACCAGAGGAATTCAGAAACTGGGCCTGCTACCATGATGAAAATCTAAGTCATAGTTTGGAATAGGTTGCAGAGTAAAGGATTAAAAGCCAACAGGAGAGTTATTGATGTTTACAATGATTTCCAGTCAATTTCAAATCAATTTACAATGATTGCTTTGTAATGTTTCCTGTAAGATAACAAAATAGACTGAGGGATCTGGTCAGGCTGAGTTGTTCAGTCTGAAGCAGTGCAGTTTGCCAGTCACTGTAGCAAATTACCACAAACCTGATTTGGTGGACTGATTATGAGTGGTATATTTCCAACATAAGAGGCATTTCCAACCTGCAGCACCACACAAGCCCATGTGTTGAATGGTTTAAAATCAGACATTTATAAGGTGATGTTTGTGGCCAAGTCTCTGGGAATCTGTCCCTAGCTCTGTGCTGCCAGGTGGCCCTTGAAAGGAGTCCTTGCAGCAGCAGGAGGGATGTCAAGGCTGGTTCTGCTGAATGAATTGGATTGTGTGATAATGTAAGTTTGTACAAAAGGAATACCAGAGAGCAGATTGCCTTAAGAACAAAATTAGAGTTAGCTGTGAGTTTTCTTTGGAAGCAGTAATGTAGGAGAAATGGCTTATGAATCCCAATAGCTGTGCAGAGAATGATTGCTAGAACAAATTTAGTTCTTCCCTGGAGGGTGGAGAAATGTGTTGGAGAGTTAGAAGTGGGAATCTGTTACAAGTTCTGATGCTGGAGTGCAATCCTGTGGGGCACAGGTCTCCCATGGCCCTCTGTAACCACAATTTCTTCACCCATTTTGCCTCCTTTCCCAAACTATCTTTGGGAAAGCCTGGGAGAGCTCTTCATATGTGCCAATGCAATTGGGACTAATATGCCTCCAGCCCCATAGCCTGAAGCATTAATTGTGCTTGGGGTGTGTGGGAGGTGGTGCAGTGCTTGGAGAAGGAAGAGCCTGCCTTGCACAGGTGTCTCTGCAGCAGGAGAATCATGTCTGATGCTCCCCTTCCTGGAATAGTCACTGCTTTGTTGTATCTCTGATTGCAACTAAAAAGTGGCTTCCAGTTTAGTTTTAAGACACAAGACAGATTAAATTTAGGATAATGTTGCTGCTGATATTTGAAGTATCACAATTTTCAATTATTAGAAAGTGTTAGGCTTGATAGGATGAAAAATATATGTACTTTACTAGGGAGTGGTGTGAGTTTGGAGATAACTCCATGGTGTTGTCTGTGACTGTTCATGAGTCCCCCTTGACACCAGCAGCTCCAGCAGGGTGAGGTTCCTGACACAAGTGGGTGCAGGAGGCACCACCGGCTGCTCCTCCTCACAAGGCTGTGATGGAAGAGGGTGACAGACCAAAGAAATTGTCTCAAGCAGATGAATTTCTTGAATTTCTTTTCTGATCTATGTTTCTATTTTCAATTGCAACATGAAGGAAGATAGATACTGCTTCTTCCTGAGAAGCCTAGATAAGAGCCTTGCATATTTTTGATACTTGTTAAAAAGCACTGGCAGCCCTTTACTAAAAGGTACTGTGAAAGTATGAGCTTACAAATGTATTGTGAGAGGAAAAACATAACTGTGATATGTTTGATCTTTTATCTTTGTAGCTCTAACTATATTCTCTTGCCATCATTTGTGTAAACATCAGGTTGTTCTGACTATTTTCCAACACAAAGTACAAACATTTGCAAAGGGTGATCCAGTTCAGCCTCTCTAAGGAAGAACTGTTTTCACATGAATGACAGTTGTTATTATGAGTAACAAGTAAATAAACCTTCAAAATGTTGAACTTTCTAAGCAAAATAAAATAGCCCAATGGAGAGAGAGTGGGAGGAGAAGGCAAGGGGATGTAATGTTAATTTCTATCGACTTATGTTGGTTTTTCTGGTAGAAAGCCCAGCCTCAGCATGTAGGCCTTTGAGATAGATTCTTACTTTTCCCAAATGTGTTAAGCTGGCAGGATTTATCAGGTTTTGATGGTTTGGGACATTTTCCTGTTTGTTCAACTTTTTCTTCTTTCATCAAAATTGGGTGACAATTTCCTCTTCTGCAATGAAGGTTTGGGATGGGTGATCAGAGTTAGGCCAAGGGTTCAGTCCAAATGCCAGCAGAGGCCTGCTGCAAACAGGGTGGGATTAAGAGAGTTTTGTAGGGGAAGAGAAGTTAAAAGATTTTTCAGCAGCTTTCCAGTCAAGTAGGTCATATTTAATTAGATGCTACAGTTTTTATAGCATGAAATCACAAGCAAGTGCCCTTTGGTACCCAGTTCTGGTGTATCACACTTTGAAGCAGAGCTGGTGTAGTAGCAGAACTGGCTGTTCAGATGGTGATTCCTTTTTTTAGCTCTTGTTGGGGAAGGAAGTATGAAAAAGATTACTTGCTGAGATCCTTTGACTAAACTATTGCTATGTGCATTACTTGGAATGAGTTTGGAAGCTGCAGTCACTTTTCTAGTGAGGAAACATCCGACTGAAAATTTCCTTAATTTCCTGATAGTTTTGTAGAGTGTTATTGTAACATGGAGGATAACACATTGGTGAATGCAACTCAGGAACAACTTCTTAATATGACAGCAACATTTCTTTCTCAAATAAAGGTTACACAGCTGCTTGGTGAATGGTGAGTGTAGAACACTTTGTAGTGACAAATCAATTGCTCATTTAAATTACCCACAGGTTTATGAGGCAAGGAATGTAGAGACTTGTTCTGGACTCCTTAAGGTTTGTAGCCAAGTGAATTCTCAAGATAGGAGGGAATCAAATGAGAGAGTTCCTTGCTGGTGACTTGCTGGTATTTATCAGATTTCTTTGTAGATCCTGTCCAAAGCTGAGAAACCCTCATTGACACTGAGTTGTTGTTTAGTGGGTGTTCATGAATTAGGAAGTTTAATTGGAACATTTATTGTGGGGTAAAGTCCTAATGAAAGGGAGAGCTGGTAAAACTCTCAGTGACTCTTTTCCTCATTTGAAGCAGTTGTGGCTCTGCAGAGGGAGCTCCCGTTGGGCAGAGCCTGGCTGGGGCCGGGCTCCCCTGTGCCGCCACAGGCAGGAGTGGCTGCGGGCGGGCACGTGAGCAGCTCCAGCCTGGGGGATCCTGGCTAAATTTAACCCTGGCTGCATTCCACGGCTGAGATCAAGGCTGGGCAATGACACACGAGCAGAGCTTAGAGCAAGAGCCTGCATGTGGGTAAGAAGGGGCTTGAGGGAAGAGAGAGGACTTGTGTGGGAAAGGATTAAGGTGCAGGGCAGAGCCGGGACGGGCAGGAGTGCGTGAGGGGCGGCTCTCTGGATTGGGAAGGATTGGATGTTGTCAGGAATGTGGAGGTGACAGCATGGACTCAGCTGGCATCTGGGGGAGCAGAACTGTCATTTGAGGGAGTTACAAGGTGACAGGGGAGTCTGGTTCTGACAGGACTTGACCACTGCTCTCATGAGAGTCCCTCAGGCATGGTGACTCCATTGCTCCCAAACCCCTCGGCTCTGGCTGCCTGAAGTGTGTTGGTCCTCCACTGACAACCTCCTGAAACAGGAAAGGGGATGGAAAACAAACTGCAGTCTTGCACTGTTCAGGGTGTTTAGGAGAGCATTATGCCACTCATTTCACAGGGAAACTTTTTGCTGTATTGAGAAACAGGTTTTATAATAGTTCACCTGCTGATATAAAACCACAGATTTTGAGGTGATTGCACAAAAAGCTACTCTATCAAAATACACAGGAAGTTATGAAACTTGATGACAGGTCTGCAGACTTTGCCTTGATATATTGTACTGTAAATATTTCCCCTTTTTGTGGATCTGGAAATGCTGGTCTTATATAGAAATTTTTGTTTTGTTTTGTTTTTTCTTGGTATGAACCAAATCAAAACTTGAAACAAGCTTTTACAGTAAAGAACTGTGAAGAATGGGGAGGAAGAAAGCATCGTGGATGAGACATAATTTAAAAATATAGCGGCAGTATAAAATTTATACATCTGAAAAACCTGATTCTTTTCTTACATGTATGGAGTAAGATACTTTGAATTCATTTTGCAATAGCATTCAGGGCCTGGAAAGTGTGTGTAAATTCTAAAATGTCTGTGATCCTTTCTATGCCTTCTCTGTACACTGATTTACTGATAAATAATTTCATTGTGTGGTAACATGGAGCACATGTGGAATCAGAAAGAATAGGTAAACAATTTTTTTGTTGTTGTTGCTTCATTATTTTTGCAGGTAATACAGAACAGTTCTCCTGCAGGTATTGTTTGAAATAATTTGTGTGGTGACTGATTTTTACTCTTTGACAGGAGAAAATTCAGATCCAGTTGTCACAGTCTTTTGAAAAAGAAGAAAAACCTGCAAAAGATGAATCAGAAAAGGAAAAATCCAGTGATAAGCTCTCCAGAAAAATGTTATCAAGAGGTTTGCTCTCTCTCCTTGTATTATTCAATATACTGTATAGATAAGAACATATGAAAATACAGTTCTGCTTCCAGTTCTTCATTGCATAAACATTGCATTTTTTTTTAATTTTATTTGCAAATGAAGCAAATAGATCAGACACCTTTGAGCTAGAGGAGAAGGAAAGAGAGCTTTAGAGACTTCATCAAACACTCCAGCAAATGTTTCCTTTTTGTCCTGACTGTGCAGAGCAGCATAAAAAACCAGCTGTGTTGTCTCAGTTGTGTCCAAGTGTTCTTTAAGCTGACTTTACAAGTCAGTGGAAGCTCCTGTCTTGTTCCTGGGCTTGTGAAATTGAAGTGTCTATGTTGTCCTTTGTTTATTTTACTTCTGATAGTATCTGGAATTTTTTCAGTAAAGTTTTGGAGTAAGGGTAGAACTACATAAATAAAAAGGACAAGTATTATGTTTTCACTTAAATATTCCTGCCTTGTGGATTAAAGTTACAGTCTGAGTGCTGAAAATCTATGGGTGTTAATCTGAAAGAGAGCTGTGAAATCAATGACATAAACTATCAGTTCATGTCCATGCTGCCTGATGCCTCCTACAGGTAGAAGACTTTATGCATTTAAGTTGGCAAATCATTTTTCAGCTCTTCCTTTAAATATCCAGAATGTTTACCTAAATCTCTTAGATCAGCCAGAGTATAGGAAATACCTTTAGAGCTGGAATTCTTTTTGAGACAAGTGGCACTTGTCCAACTCATGTCCTGCCATTCCAGAAGGTATTCCTCATGTGGAATTTCAGTGCAGCTTGTCCCAGCTGCCAGCCAGGTATTTGTGAAATAAAAACCACTGAGATGGAGAACTTAACCTGCATTTATAAATCTCAGTGTTTGAAATGCCTTAAACACCACCCCCAAATACTCAACAGGTAATGATGGGGGGTTGAGAGTAAAGTGACAAAATGTCAGTGGTAGAGGTGGCTGTTCTGAATGCAACCACTCTCTCCTCTGAAGGTTAATTACTTCCCAATATAGGATATGCCAAAATAGAAAATTATGGAATTTTAGCATCAGTTCTAGTAATTATCACTAAATCATTGCTCACTTGCAAATTAGAAAAATTGAAGTAAATTATTACTGAATCTTAACATTTTTGTCAGGATGGCCTTTTTTGCCTTCTCCTCTTCAGAATCAAAAGTAATTCCAGACTATAAATGCTCAGACTTGGTTGGTTTCACTGAAACTCTCTGGGCAGCTGGAAGAGCTGGGACATGGGCATAAGTCTGAGTTGTGCCTAACTGAGTTGAGACTAGGTTAACACATAAGTAGTTCTTGGAAGACACCCAGTTCCAAAAATCCTGTTCCAGCACCTGTTGGTTTGGATCCTAGTACCTGCAACTCAAAGGTGCTCATGTAAGGGAAGATTTGGGGTTAAATCATTCCTGTTAGGGACAGATTTTAGGGGTAGTATGTAACTGAATACTTTGCTTCACTGAAACTGGAAAGGAGGGGAAAGGTTGAGCCTACTTTTGGAAAAAGTAGTCATCTAAACATGACGTTGTGCAAACAAAGCCCAACAGAACAAGGATTTTTAGTAGTGCAAAACACCACTTTGTGAAGGTTAAACTTACATTCTGAATTACAAAATTCCTTTGGGCAACATCCAGTGGCTGAGTAGATGGGCTGCTGCTGCTCCACAGATGTGTACACACACTGCAGCGTGGGATAGAGGGAAAATGTGGCAGGCTGGTGGAAATTGGGTCTCTCCAGGTGATTACCTGCTTCACAACATACAGCCAGTTGTTATAATGGTAGTGTTAATGAAACTCCTGCTTCTGCATTACCCTTGAATTAGGGGATAGTGGGTGGTGGTAGGTTTTCTGTTTTGTTTTTGACTTGTGGGCCTTTCTCCTGGAAACTGCAAGCATTTAATTTTGGCAACAATGTACTTAATGCATTGTTATATAGTATTGATCCATATATAGTATGTACAGCAATAATTGGAAAACAGCTTCTTCAGGGTGTAATTCTGCTCTCTTCCCCCTTCCCTTAGATTCCAGCCAGGAGTATACAGATTCCACTGGTATAGATCTTCATGAATTTTTAGTAAATACATTAAAAAACAATCCCAGGTAAGAATCAATAATGTCAACTTTCTTTATGTTTTTCTTTCTTCATTTTGCCTGAGGCATCACACTACCTGGTTTTTTTGTTTGTGGTTTTATTTTTCCCCCTCTTAAATGTCTAACTCTCCATGTCAGTTATTCAGGGTGAGATTCTGTTGCAGACTGTGTAAAACACCACTGCAATTGGTTTGCTTTTTGAGCAGAGGCTCAGGACACTGAAGTGGTTTAAATACTTTTAATGCTTAATGTGCAAATGATGTGTTCAGTCTATGTGCAGTTCTCTCCCTGAATGGGCTTCAGTACATTGTCTCTAAACCTTGCACTGTCTTGGCACCTGCTTGTTAGAGACCAAACTGCCTTCTGACCCTAATCTGTCTTGCACTGAATTTATAGATAAAGGCATTTTTTTAAAGCTGTACCATATAACTGTAGTTAGAGATTTTCATTTTGCACATGAGAAACCAAATCTGACCTAATCCAAGTCTATCATTTGTTAGCAACAGAGCTGACCTGGTTCTGTTGCTCTGAGGTTTGCAGTCTGTCCCTGTCTTGTTTGTTCTTTCCCTCACTGGGGTTTTGTGCTGGCTTTGTGGCATAGTGCAAGGCAAGGAGTTAACCTGGTGCAATTGTTAACCTGCCACAAAAGCTGCTTCACTGCTTTGTTACTCATTCATATTATAGGTAGGACTTCCAATGTGGTAGTTTATTTGGATTCCATTTTATTCAGAATAAATGTGACATGAGCCATCATATGGCCAAAGCCATAGTCCTGTAGAGTAAAATCAGAAAGCACAGACCTCTGTGAGACTTAGTAGGTGGTTCCTGTTTGAAGCCATGAAGCATCCCAGTGGAAACAAGGAGCTGTAAGTGCAGAGCTCCATGTGTTTCCATGCTCAGTGATGGGAAGCTTGGTTACTTGATGTGCACAGATTATGAACTGTGCATCACTGGATTTCATTGCATCTTAATTGCTTATTAGAACCAGTGCAAGGAGTTTTAGAAACAGTGTTCCTTCCTACCACCTTGAGCTTTAGCTTTTTTGTGTTTCTGATATGTCAGCACATTGCCACATGTGCCAGCTTTAAACCCTTGGTTGTTGGTGAAGTGCCCCCACCACTTTCTCAGTGATCCCCTGATGTGCTTCACAATCCAGGGGCCAGCTGAGGCCTCTGCACACTCCCTGCCCACACCAAGCAGCAAGGAGCACCCTCAGCCCTGCTTTTCCTCCTGGAGCCTGTCCTCTCCTGACTGTGCTTCCTGCTGAGCCTCCTGGGCAGGGACTTCTTGGAGGATCTGTGTACTCTGATATCTGAGAGCAAAACAGCATGGTTCAATGCAAAATAGCAAAAAAAGATACCTTGTCCTAAAAATTCTGCATTTGACACCTGCTGGTCCTATTTCCAGTCTGCCATCATCCCTTGATCACAGCCCTGATCTGTGTATTCTTAAGATGAATACAACTGCAGTTATTGGAGTGTCTCATATGTGAGTTGCTGTGTTTTTATTTTCAGGGACAGAATGATGCTGCTGAAATTAGAACAGGAAATTTTAGATTTCATTGGTAATAATGAGTAAGTACTGTACTCTCATAGGAAAAAAGAATTCAAGAGTGTTCCTGTTTATTTAATAAAGCTACTATTCCTTTCTTCCAGAGTACCAAGAAAAAAGTTTCCCCCAATGACATCTTACCATAGAATGCTGTTGCACAGGGTAGCTGCTTACTTTGGATTAGAGCACAACGTGGACCAGAGTGGGAAGTCAGTCATAGTAAATAAAACTAGCAATACAAGAATGTAAGTGCCAAAGCCTTGAAAAACCCTTTTGATGTAGCTCTAACGCTGGGATGTGTGAGGCAGTGATGCTGTAGCAGCTGAGGTCTGTCTCCTCACTGGGAGAGGCATCGGGGAGAGGTAGCTGAGAGCTCTTTACTGTTCATGTTCTTGCTGTGTAATAATGGGATCTGTTTGAATTCTTTTGGGGAAAGAAGGATGTTATCTCTGGGTTAAGTTGTTGCTTTTCTGGCAGAGATGCATTGCTAATTTTGTTTCTGTGAAATGCGAATTTTTAGCAACTGTTTATTTGTTTAAAGATTTACACCAGTAAAGTGTACAAAGTGCATTCTTTGTTTCTTTTGGATAGCAGAGCCAGCTCTTATCTTAGAACAGGGTCATTTCTGATTTGGTGAAGGGAGGGGACTTGCACAACTGTGGCTTTTGTATTGTAAAATTCTACTGGGAATATTCAGCTGTTGAAGTTCTTCTGTTGGAATAATGTTGCTTACAGATCTCTCATGGCCTTACAAATAAACATATCAGGAAAGACAGACATCAGTGAAAATGTCAACCAGGTTAACAAGCTGCTTTACTGGGAGGGCTGGGGAGCTCTTGGAGAAACCTCCAGGAAAATCCATATTGCAGAGAAGATAGCACTGGGGCCACAGCAGCTCTGAAACCTGTGTGGAATTGAGGTTTTCATTCAAGGGACCCAGCTGTTCTCTCCATTCTCTGCACTTGCTCTGTCTCCTCATTCTCTCTCAAACAGACAAAGGTCTAATGTGATGACATATTTATGCCACCTAGTTTCTAGTTTTAACTTAAAGCATTTGCCTGACACCGTTTTTTGTTGGTCTTGAACATGAAAACAGGAGTTGACAGTGCCTGCATATCCTAATCTCAGTCTCTAGGTACACTCTTTATAGCTTTGGGAGAAAAAATCTAATTATCCACTCTCTTTTAGAGTCAATAGGACTGAAATTATATGCCACACTGAAATTTCACTTAAGTAAACAGTGTGTCCTCAGAAATTTTAGAAATATATAGAGAGCCTAAATGTATGTTGAATACTTGCATTATTTATGTATGTGTTTTTGCTTTGGCTGTACAATCTATATCTCAATTGACCTAGAAAGCCAAACATTTCAAATCTGTTGCCTTTGCATCTACCAACATCTCTAGAATGAAGCTTCAGTCTACCACTTCAATTGTGGCATAAGAACTAATAAAAAATTAGACCATATTTAAATAGCTTGTGGCCTCTGGAAGCCCCTGTAGGTGTAGTTACTAATTAGCAGGCATTTCATCTAACCTGTAGACATAAAGATTCTTGATGTTTTCAATATTCTTATTTTAAATCACTTTGGATACAAAATAAGAATTTAGAAAGAAAACCTTGGAGATCTGCTCCATGTGGAATAAAGCCAAACTTACCTTTTCCTCATAGGCAGGTTCGCGGCTCCCTCGCCGAGCAGGGATGTTACTGACATCAACCACCCAGTGCACACTGGCACGTCTCAGTGGAGTGGGATTGGTGATTGCAGGGCAGTAAATTCAGAGACCTTTAAAAGAAAGAGGTAAGACAGTCTAAAGGTTCTCTGAAATGCCTGCTAATTATGTTTGGGCAGCCAGTACCCAATAGGCAGGGCTGGCTGTTTCGTAGAAAAAGCTCCCCTCACTCCCTCCAGAAGTCCTAGGTAATGATAAATCACAGAAATAGAGAAGAGCATACATTTATTCTGTCCTCTATTAGACAAATATTTCCTGGTTGTCTGAGCTCTTCTCTTACAAAAGCAGTCGTTTTATTATTCAGGTACTTGGTATCTCTCTTTAATAACAAGGATTTTGCAAAATACCACTTTTCTTTCACAAAGCAGATAAAATACCAAAGCATTATTTATAATCTGTTGCTTCACTCTCTCCCTATGACTGTGTGAAGCTCTTGCTTGCCTGCATTATACTGTTCTTCTCTTACTCATTTCTGCTTAATTTTGTTTTAGAAGTTTCTAAATTTCAGTGCTTTCTCCTCTACCTTCTTTCTTCTGTTTTCCCTTGAAATGAACCTGAGGTATTGCGGCTCTAGCGGCAAACACCTGTCTTCCCTTCCATGCATGCCCAAAATCCATTGCATGGCACCAGTTGGGATTCAAAAGCACTTCTGATTCCCCAAGGGCATGTGGTTTGCTTCCCACCTTAACTGGGAGTTGCAGCAAAAGCTTTGAAAGGAGGAAGAGGTTTTTAAAAGCAGGTTTGTTATGCCTCAGGACAGGATCTGTCAGGGGTGCAGCATATATTTTCCATTGCCCAGACAGCCAAAGTCTATTTATTTCAGTTAGAATATGAAGTATATTTTAAATTACACCTGAATATATTTCAGTTTCTTCCACTGTGTGTACAGTATGTTTACAAAACCATAAATATTTTGTTTGTAACAACTTTTCTCAGACCTGACCAAAAGTTTTGTGAGCATATAAAGGATGAGAAGAGCGATGACTTCCAGAAGCGGTACATCCTTAAGAGAGATAACTCTAGTTTAGACAAAGATGACAACCAGGTAAAGCACACATGGCTTGTTCCTTCCACTTGCTGTGTTTGATTGTGCATTCTTACTGTTTTGCTTTGCAAAATAACACTGTACCACTTAATTTAGATGAGAATACGATTAAAAGATGACAGAAGAAGTAAATCTATAGAAGAACGTGAAGAAGAATATCAGAGAGCTAGAGAAAGGATATTTGCACAAGATGTACGTATCAAAAGCAGTCTGGCACTATTTTCTGTGAACCCTTCACACACACACATGCACAGGTGGCTTTCCAGGAAACTGGTTCTGAATGACACTGAGCAGATAAGAGAGTGAGGCCTGAGTGAGTTTTAAATGATATTGCAGTTACTGAGAAATCTGTTTTCTCTAATTGCTGCTGTATGAAACTCAAACAACCCAAGAGTTATTGAGTGTTCTCTAGTGTTACCTAGTGCTATGCATTTCCCCCCTTTGCATTGTTTTGTCCCTCACTGCAATTTAAGTCACAGATTTTTGTTACTGCAATCATGTCAGTTGCTCAGAGCAATAATTAAAAGAAAAAAAAAAAAACCAAGCAAATTAAAAACAAAAAAACTCTTTTCTCACTTGTATCTATAGCAGCCACATTATGAGTGGTCACAGTAAAATAATTTGAGGTCCCATATGTGAAATTCTTGTCAGGAATCTGATCTCCTGACTGGAGATACCCTACAGGACAACATTACAGGCTACAATTCAATTGCAAGTAGTGATTATACTGAGTGAAACAGAACAAATATGTCTTTAAATATACGTGTTACTTTTAATAATCCACTTCTGACATTTATCTATAACTCTTGCACATCCAAAACCAGATTCCAAAGAGAGTAATGAGCTCTTGAGAGGCTTATTTACATTTTTTTGTTCACCTTAGTTGCAAACAAGAATAATCGACTTTTGGATATAAAATTACATTTTCCTTTTGCATTTTAATTTACTATGTATTAAACCCTTAGAAGCTTTGTGCCAGATGTTGGGAGTCACAGTCAAGGACAACATCATTTGAGTCAGGAGCAGCCTTTGTGGTTGTGTTCCCTGTGCTCTGTAGCTCACCCAGACTGGTACCAGGGCACTGAGCAGTTAGTGCAGCAGCAGTGGCCTCTCCCCCTCTGCCCTTCCCAGCAGAAGACGAGGCAGCTCAGGTGCTGTGACAGCCCTGGCAATCACACACCAGCTGCAAGTGACAGAAGGCACCAAAGGCCCAAGGGAAGAACTGTAACTTCAGAAAAATCTGATAGAAACCAACTCAGCATTGTAACTATCCTCATGCTGACTTTGATCTCCTGCACATGGGCCTTTTGATGTTGTCTTGTTTCCTCATGGAAATTGTTCACCAACAGGTAAAGTTTTTCAGGCAGCTTACTATAAAGAGGGTGCTGTAGAAGTCTGTGTACAATGCAGAAAACTCCAGATTGCTGTGTGTGCTGTAGTAGGGGTTCTAAATGCCATTCGTATTAATTTCTGCACTTCTTTGCCCCTCAGTCCCTGTGTTCCCAAGAGAATTATTTCACTGATAAAAGGTAAGAAAATTTGCTGTTTAATTCTGTTTTGTCTTCCTATTTTCTTAATAAATATTAAGCTATCTTATTAAAATGTCAACAGAATCCAGGAGGAAGAAACTAATAGTACACAACAAAGACGACAGATACTTAGGTATTTGATGCTTTCTTTTAAAAAAACAAAACCCAAAGTATTCTGCATGCATTTACTTTTTCTTTCTTGTTTTTCGGGGGTTTTTTTTTTGGTTGTTTGTTTTTCCCCTTCTTTTGCAAGCACTGCTCGTGCTAACAGTTGAGTTTGTAACTTGCAGAATCAATAAGGAGGCATCGGGGAGATCGGCCAACAGCCACCAGAGCAGCACGGAGACGGAGCCGCGGCCCTGGAGCAGCACGGACTCGGACAGCTCCCTGCGCAACCTGAAACCCGCCGTCACCAAGGCCAGCAGCTTCAGCGGCATCTCCGTGCTCAGCCGCGGGGACAGCTCGGGCAGCAGCAAGAGCACGGGCAGGCTGTCCAAAGCAGGTATGGCAGGCTCTGGGGCTGAGCAGGGTGGGCTGTCCAAAGCAGGCACAGCAGGCTCTGGGGCTGAGCAGGGACTGAGCAGGGTGGGCTGTCCAAAGCAGGTACAGCAGCCTCTGGGGATGAGCAGGGTGGGCTGTCCAAAGCAGGTTGAGCAGGGTGGGCTGTCCAAAGCAGGTACAGCAGCCTCTGGGGCTGAGCAGGGTGGGCATGCCTGATGTTCCCCTCCCTGCATCCATTCCCTCGGGATACACCTACAGACCCAGCCCTAGAGCCGTAATGTGACAAATGCAGCGAACCCTTCTGGCTTTAGAAGGAGAATTTCCAAGTGTGCCAATGCCTTTCATCTCATGCAAAGGGTTTGGAAACATTTTTTACCAGAAATATTTTAGTATCAAATATTTGGGGTTCAGGTCTCGATTTCCAGTGGGGCAAAACTGTGACCGTGTTTGCAGGGGTCATAGGATGAGGGAAGAGATGAGGATCTGACTCCATGTTTCAGAAGGCTGATTTATTATTTTATTATATATATTATATTAAAACTATACTAAAAGAATGGAAGAAAGGATTTCAACAAAAGACCGGCTAAGAATAGAAAAAGAAGGAATGATAACAAAGGCTTATGTCTCAGACTCTCTGCCTGAGCCAGCTGACTGTGATTGGCCATTAATTAGAAACAACCACATGAGACCAATCCCAGATTGCAGATGCACCTGTTGCATTCCACAGCAGCAGATAATCATTGTTTACATTTTGTTCCTGAGGCCTCTCAGCTTCTCAGGAGGAAAAATCCTAAGGAAAGAATTTTTCAGAAAATATCATGGCTACACAAAACTGCATTGCAACATCTTGGGAAATTCTGCACTGCTATCCTTCTAGTCAGATAAAACAGCATTAACGCCTATGAATTGGTAGTTATTTTTATTGTGTTCTTTTTCTTTTGTTAAATCAAAATGAATATGGCTCAAATGCTTACTTAATTTTTAGATTGCTGAGAAATGAGGTCAGTGGAATGAAGTTTACTGTTTAATTTTCAAATTCAAAAATACTTACAAGAGTCAGGGTTTCAGAGGGGGTTAATATGTAATTAATGTGAAAACAAAATCTCAGAAAATATGGGAATGAATCTTCTGTGGGTCAAAAATGAAATTTAGTAAATATTTGTATTTCAAATGCCAACATAATTTGTTGCAGTTGCTAATCTCTGGGGAATTTTCAGGCTTGTAATACATGGGTGTGTTATTGGTGGCTGCTTCGGAATTTGGAACAGAACTATAAAAAAGCAGAATATGATTGCTTACCTTATTAGTATTGGCTTTGATCTTATTTATAAAACTGTTTTTTCAAGAGGATCTATTTAAATTTTTTGCTTTTCCTTAAATCACTACCACCTTTTAGGCATATGGCCACACTGCTATATATTAATGCAGTAAAACAGTAACAAATTCTGTTTGTCCATTGTATACTTGTATAAAAAAAGACCCAAACCAGTTCAAGGTATTTCTGCTGTAAAATTGTGCCATCATATGGAGTTATTCCATTTAGCAGTGTAGTGATGTTATTTGGCACAGCTTGAAAAGAAACTGCAGCCTGACAATAAAATACATTCTTAGAAATCTTTGTTGGCTAAATTTCAACAACATAAATGGATTCTTAAAATTTTTGCTGGAGTCTTTATTTTGGCATTCTGAGAATTTGGGCATTCCAGGCTGGGAATGCCCACCTTGATGCTTGTTGCTTCCTGCAGCTCCAGGTTGTGGTGATGGGCACATGCTGAGCTTGGGTGTGTTCACGTTGTTCAGGGATGGAATTGGCTCTGGTTACAATGGCTTCAGCCTCACTTCTCTGCATAATCTAGAAGTGAACACACTTGGAAATGAATCCAAGTAACTCTGCTCAGGCAATGATGGTTTTACAGAGCTGGGATGTGCTGTCTCACCCAGTTTATAATTAATAGCTTTGATTTCACTTAATTCAGCAATAAAAAAGGCCAATGCTTCAAGCTATGCTCTCTTTGTAAACACAAGTTGAAGGGTTACAATTAGCAACTTTTATAAGGGATTGCTGAGTAACTTCAAGCAGTACATAAATTCCATCTGAGAGCTTTTTGAGTCTTTCTTTTTCTTCTCGATTATATAGAGGCTGCTAATGGGGAGTTTGTAAATTTGAACAACTGTATTCTGTTTCCAAGTACTGCAAGTATCACACACTTCTTACAAAGTCTTTGCTAAATGGTGTACCTAAAGCTCCAGGTGTCAGGTGATCTGGGAACAGCAGTTCCACAGACCTGTCCATACTGGACTTTTGGAATATTTCCTTTAGCTGCATGCCTTGGCTTTCAGGAAGCTCAGGGTCTGGTTCTCCACTGCCTTGCAATGTTTATAGTAATTCATATCTGTAAAATGAGTACTGATATTTCAATTGGCTGTTTTATTATCCTTTGAAATTTGAATTGTTGCATAAAGCCAGGCTAAAGCTACCATCTTAGCCTCATTTCATTTTTTCTAGCTATATTCTTGATTTCAGCCTGCAAATTGTCAGAGGAGGAAACAGTGCTGAGGGTTTTAGTATAGTGCAAATTGTCCAGCAGGTGAGTCAGAGAAGATCTGACCCCCAGCAGTGGAAATACTGCTCCTTGCTTGTGTGCAGGGCACGAGGCTTTAGCCAGCAGATCCACAGGGTCAGCAGGGCCCTGCAGCTGCATTCCCTGCACAGCTGCAGCAGCTGGGGCTGGGATTCACTGCCTCAGTGCATCCCCTCCACCATCTTGCACTAATGACCAACCACTTCCATCAATTCTGGAGGTATAAATATGCATTTTCTGGCCAGAAAACCAAGCTAGATATGAAAGCCTTACTTTGCAGTGCAAAGCAGTGCTGAATTGACCCTTGGTTCACAGAAGGGACCTTGTAATGGTATTCCAGGGGAGATGGAGGGGGAGTCCATTGACCAGGCTGCTGTGAATAATGTGCTTAATGCTGAGCTTTCAGGGTGAGCACTTACAAGTGTATATTTAAAGTGAGCTTGATGTTACTGTCTCTAGGTAAAACCAATTTCTCATTACTCCTCTCCTAGGTTCAGAGTCTTCTAGTAGTGTAGGGTCCTCCACGGGTTCTCTCTCTCACAGCCAGCAGCCTCTTCCAGTGGCAGCTCTAAGCCAGCCCTCCCCTGGCACGCCTGCCGTGTACCCAGCTGGCAGCTCTAGTAACTCTCTGTCCTTTGATGGTGCCATGAGCCAAGTGGCACCTGCTGCTGGCAGTAGCTTCTTTCTGCTTCCCTTGGAAGCAGCGGGCATCCCGCCTGGCAGTGTGCTGGTCAACCCTCAGACAGGTTGGTACATGCTTGGGGCTGTCTCTGTTACACTGGGGAACTGGAAAAATGCACGAGTGCTTGCATAAGGCTTCATGTCAGTATTGTCCTTTGTCCTTTATTTTTCTCTTTATTTTTTTTAATGTGGTTGTGTTCATTCAATGCACTTTATTTAACAAGGAAGCATGACTGGAGGATCAAAGGAATGAGTAAGCTCACATGACTTTCTCTAGAAGAGTTTTAACTTGCATATGTGAGTGACTTGCACAAAATACGAAAATTGTATGATTTACTATCCAGAACACAGAATAACTTAATTGTTTCAGCTTTTTTCAGGAGCGGAAAACCTCCTTTCCAGTGTTTCTATAACACAGTTTCAGTGAGAGGAGACAGCCTGAGAAAGGATTTATATTGACTTGAAAGAACTTATCATCCTTCTTTTTTTTTTTTGATGCAATGTACTCACCTCTCTATGCTCAAGACTGAGTTAATACAAATGAAAGAAAGTAGCACTGGATGAAATACTATTTCTAAACTTGTCCTTGTCACTTTAAAACAGGATTAAATCAGTATTGGTGTAATTGGCCAATACTACTTTTTTAGGAAGTAGTAGGAAATTCTTACTTCATAATGTAGATGCAAGGAGGTTTGTAATAACTTGTCTAGATTAAATAATGAGTTAGCACTCTCAGGGCAAACTTTTAAAAATTTAAAAATTAGGAAATACTGAAAATTTTAATTTACCTTTAATGTAAAAGATCATAATTTTAGGAAATTTTATCTTGTCATTTTGGTACAATTATTTGTTTTCATTGTAGAAAATAAAATACTTCGGGATATACTTACCATCATTCTGTAGATGGACTTGATTATGCTTGAATATAATTGCACATGATGTTTGAAGCAAAATGTTTCTCATTGGGGTTGTTAAATGTAGCAAATAATTTCTTTCACTAGAAGGTATAACGTTGAAATAGATAAATTCATCTTTTTCCTTAATATGAATCAATTGCTAAAAATTTGGTTACAAATGAGTTGCTGTAGGACTTAATTTTCATAGATAGCCATTGGATTTGGAGGAGAATGTATTTGTCATCTTAGAGCTAAGTTCATCAGTAGTCTTTAATAATTATGTTAGTGTCTAATGAGCTTCTAGCAGAAGGCAAAGAACATTTGGAGAACAAGGAACATTTAGGGGCAGATAAACTTTGATTTCCAGTGTACTTGAACCATCATATTCTGTAATTGTTTCTCTGGCTTTACTGTTCCAATGGCAGCCAAAGCAGAGATTGGTTCCTCAGGGTTTCTGACAGAGGAATCTGTGCCTTGGTAATTAGGAAAAGACAGCTCCTAGCCAGCCACTACAAGAAATAAGTGAAGCTCTGGTGATTAGCAGGAAGCAGTAGAAGGAAATAAGAAAATTGGAGTCCTTATTGATGTGAACATTCCCAGTTCTTGAGTGTTGAAATCTCCTGAGCTCAGTTTAGTATCACCTGATGAGCTGCAGTCCAGCTGCTGGAGCTTATTTCAGCAAGTCTGTTCATGTTCCCTCTGCCATGAATTCCTCAGTCCTTTCTTCAGTTACTGTTCCGCTCTTTATGTTGAGCAGTTGCATTTAATATGATGGCACCAAGAAGTCTGGAGGAGCATTAGTCTGCTTGGACAGGGTGCAAAGACTTTAGACTCTAGAAAGAATAAGAACATTAAATCAGAGGAGAGAAAAATTTCCATCAGTGTTTTGCCCTTTAAGCATCAGAACAAGGCAATGCAGGACACGTGTCACTAAGCAGGTAGGCACAGGTCCTTGCCAGCCAGGCCGTTGTTCCTTAGATTTGGTTTGGTTTTTTCCAACCCAGGCACAGAAAGAAGTCACTGGGCTTTTTTCTAATTTATGCAGTTTATTTTTCAATTATTTTTCATTGGCCTATTGCTGTAATATTGAGGTTGCAAATTATTAAATAGGAGAATAATTCTGTGTTATTTATTTTGAAAGCTAAAAGCCAATTAATCTAAGAATAGGAGAGGAGAATCCTTTATCAGTAATCTCATTAGCAGTCATGGGAATACCAGGGCAGCTATTGCTTTATATAGTTTTCAAAAAATATTTGCCTTTAAGCTCTCCTGTGTTCTGACTGGTTTTCAAATTTATTAAAGGAGGTAAATTTTTAAGATATCCTTAAAACAGTATTTTAGTAGAGTTTTCCTTTTTTGCTCCTGTCATATTCAATCTACTTGGTTAAAAATCAAGTTTCAAGATGAGTAGCATATAAGAAATTTTTATGTGTGTTCACTACGTAAAGACTGGGGTATCTTTGTTTAGCTTCAATGTTTTGGGTTTTAGCTGCATGTAGTCATTGCTGTTATGGTTGTGGGCATTTGGCATGAACCAGTATGACTTCCCTCATTTTTCAATGTTGTTATTGCTTTTGCCTGCTGTAAGCAGTTTGTGTGTGCTGTCCCAGCTGAGGCGTGCAGCTGCTGTGTTTGCTGTGTTTCCCGGGCAGGTCAGCCGTTCCTCAATCCCGATGGCACGCCGGTGGTGTACAACCCTCCCCTGCCTCAGCAGCCTGGCAGGAGCCAAGTGCCTGGAGCTGCTCCTCAGGCAGCCCTGCCCAGCCCCAGCCAGCACCAGCCCGGAGCCAACGCCGTCCTCTCACAGGTGCACTTGTCAAACACGTGCTCAGGGACCCCGGGGCTCCCCCTCAGCTCTGGGAACAGGGTGGGGGTTGTTTGTTCTGAGAACGGTCACACACACAAGGGGAACTGGGCCTTTTCCCTCCCAGTCCTCAGAAATGTCAGCTCTGATCATGCCTGAGCATGGTGGCAGCTTCTTCTTCAAAATACTGATATGAAAATATTCTGTAACCAAGAACAAGAGGTTCTGCCTTCACCCCTAATTGCACTGTGGAGCTACCCAGGCATTAAAAGCAATATAGTTGGCAGCTGGGAAGAGTTAATCCAACTGGAACCTTGGGCTTCTTGTCTCAGGGTTGTTTCTCAGCCAGATAAATTCCTGGGCTGTACAGCACAAGCAGGAGTCATGGCACAGTAGGAGTAGCTCAGGACTGGTACAGCATGAACTTCTCCTGAGTAACATTTCAGCATATTCTGCTCACAAAACCACACACACGAGTACAAAATGTATTTTATCCTTGTCTTGTACACGAGTTTAGTAAAATAGGCCAGATTAAAGACTGCCCCAGCCCTAGAAGAAGAAGAAAAGCAAAATGCTTGGGCAGGAGAAGGGAGAGTTCTCCCTCTCCACAGCAGCTGTTTCAGGCACCAAGGTACTGGCTGTAGTCTCCTGTGGTATTTTCAGATGGTTCTTAAATTTTATTGAAAAGTTATTTATAGAACTTCATCTAAGCCTTTTACCTTTGTTTGTTTGTTTTCCCTGTTTAAACCTGTTCAGGTAGCTGGGTATGCCACAGTAGAGCTGGTCTGTTTTGAAAAAGGTCTCATTTGTACTCTTTCTAGTTCACAGAAGTGTGTATGTAATATTGGCTATTTTCTTCACAAATTCTTTACTAATTCTCTGATTATCTTCTCAATGGATGCTGGAATTAAACCTGCCTGAAATATTATGAGCAATGATAACTATCTAGAGAAAATATTTTAGTGCTGTTGAAAAAATGAAAGTAGTAGGTTTGAATCCATGGTTAGTAGTAAATTCATTCTGCCTTTAAGTGCTTTGAAAGGGCTCGTGTTTAAAATGCGTGTGGAGTTTTTAGTCTCTCTGAAGGAAACAGTAAATGTTAAATAGAAGCAATTTGCTGAGATAGCTAATATAGTGTATAACAAATAAAGCAATGGATGTCTTATGGGAGACTAAGATATTCAGAGTTATTTCTGTTTTCATTCTATGCAGTCTTAGGCTTAAGAAAAAAGAGGTATCCATTCTGTTTCTGAGAGTGGAGCGAGTTGCTCTTCTGGAGCACAGTTGCTTTTCTCTGTTACAAAAGACTTGTTTGCACTTCTCTCACTCTGTTGTTAACCTTGTTCATAACCCTGTTATTTCTGCAGCCTCTGCGGGCTCTGCAGCCTTCCTCCCAGCCTGTCCAGTACTCTGCAGTGTCGTACCCACCCCCGCTCCTGCCAGCCTCCTCTGCACAGCAATACTCTGTGGTATTACACCTTCTTCCTCTGCTCCTTGCTCTGCTGCCTGCTGCCCTTGCCTTGGCTGCTGCAGTGCTGTGTGGTACAGGGTAGTGACTGGCTCTCAGTGCCACAGCACCTGAGTGCCCGAGGTGGGAACGTTTCACATTCAGCAGGAATACCTGCAATTTATGCTATTTAGATATATCTCTATATTTTGAGATACATTCTTTCCCTTTCCCTTTGTAAAGAAAGCTTTTCAGTGCTGTTTCATTAGCCAGTCAGTACCTTTTTATGTCTCTGGATTAACCTCTTTCCATTGCTTCCTATTGTTTCCTTGTCTGCTCACTCTTCTGCTAAACCTTAATACATTCCAAGGGATCAGCTGCTCTGATTTTTTCTGGTTACCTTTTTGTAGCTTCTCTGGTAGAATTTTCAACAGTCCCACTTCTCTAGTATCTATTGTTTAATAAGTACAAGCTGGAAATGAAATATCTTAGTCTATCAAAAACCAGGAAAAAAAAAAGTCACAGGAAGTGAAACTGAAACTGAGTAAAGGAGAGTTGTTATCCAAGGGAGAATCTGAACTAGATTAGATCTGAACAGGTCAAAGTCTCTCTGATACTCTGCTGAGTGCATGTTTGTGTTGGGTTTATGTGGCAAGCCTTTGGAGCAGGGAGCTGCAGGGACCCACATTAGACAGCTCCAGGGCTGACCCTGCACGGCCCAAGCTGAGTCAGTCATTCACACTGGTGGCACCTCTGAGTGTGCTTGGAAAAGGGTGTGAGGGACAGGAGGGACAAACAGCTCCACAGATACACAGGCCAGAGGAGGAAAGCAAGGAGGTGCTCCAGGTGCTGGAGCAGAGCCTGCAGTGTGGGAGGAGACTCTTGTGAAGCAGATCCTCCCCTTGAAGCCCATGGAGGACCATGGTGGAGTAGATCTCCACCCTGCAGCCCTTGGAGCATCCCATGGACGCTCTGAAGGAAGCTGGAGCCTTCAGGATCAGGTTTTCTGGTAGGACCCACACTAGGGCACTCCATTCCTGAAGGACTTCAGCCTTTGGGAAGAACCCACATTGAAGAGGATTGTGAAGGATGGTGTCCTGTGGGTGGGACCCCATGCTGGAGCAGAAGAGTGAGGAGGAAGAAGCAGTAGATACATGAGTGGGAACCAATCACAAGCCCCATTCTCCATCCCTTGTGATACTTGGAGGAGGAGGTAGGAGATTTGGGAGTGAAGTTGAGTCTGGGAAGAAGCAGTGGGGTTGAGGGAAGCTGGTTTTAGTTTTGTTTTTACTTCTCACTATCCTGCTCTCTATTAATTGGCTTAAATAAATTAATCTTCCTGTGGTGGTCACTGATGAATGATTTTCCTGTCCTTTTCTTGACCCATAAGCCTTTCATCATATTTTCTCCCCCCTTATTGCTAAGGATGAGAGGAAGGGTGGAGTGACATGGGGGACGCTTAGGAGCCAGCCAAGGTTAACTCATCAGTGTTGTACAGCAGCTAATTTTCAACATTAATCAGAAATGTCTTATAATAAATACAGTTTAAGCTGAATTCAAAAGGGATGTTGCTTCTGAAGTTGAGAGTTTGAATAGGTGGTAAAGCAGAGAAGGAAACTCCTTCCTGTTTGTAGTAATTTCAAAGCATTTCCCATTCAGGAAATGGGTTCCAATACTAAGTGCCCTGGCAGTTTCAAAAATTTATTCCTGCTGATGGTAACTTATGTAACATAATGAAAAAGATTGATGGTCTTGGATTGTATTCCAAGTGTAACTCCTCTGTAGTTGGCACCAGGAGAGTGCTCTCTCCATTTATTGGGAATGCCATGTTCCAGGGCTGAATCCTGCTTGTACCATACCTGTCACTGCAGGACAAAGTGACCACGTCAGACTTTACTTACACTGGTAGTGTAACAGAAATCAGTGTGGTGTGGCTTGGGTTTATCCTTCAGACATATTTAGAGCTAAGATAAACTCATATCTCCTCTTCAAACTCAAGATTTGGAAAAGCAGAATATAAAATCCAATGTAGAAAAGCATTATAGTTGCATTTAATAGGCACCATTAAGGAATGAAATACCAACGTCAGATTACTACCTAATGAAAATAAGGCTTTTTAAGATGTACTAAGTACATAAGAAAGGTATACTAAATTAAGTTTTAAGTGCAAATTCATGTTTCCGACAGTAATTAATAATATCTTTAGCCTGGAAACTAAAAAAACCATAACATCATAAAATGTGAATGTAGCTAATCAGTAAAAGATGGAGCTCGCACTTACTTTCTCTTGATTAATTCCTATCTTCTTGGGATGATCTAAGACCAGATGGTCTTGAAATAGTTTTAATGTCCCTGCATGTTTGGAGAGTTCACTTTCAAAGTATGAACCAAATCTTCCTGTTTAGCAAAAAACAAGCAATACTAGTTAGTGATCACTTCTAATTTTCAGGACGTTGCTAATTTGCTGTTGAATTGATCGCTAAGAAAAGGAGCTTGGAGTTACAGTAACAGAAGTTTCAGATTCCACAGGACCCCTGCGGTGCAGAGTGCAATCAGTGGCATCCTTCCAGATGTCAATAAAACCCAGATAGAGGATAGCCACTGGAACCCATTCCTCTCTGTTGTTACTGGATTTCAGATGAAAAGATCATTGATCTCTGCATGTAGGATAATAACTAAGTTAGAGGAATGTACCTTTTAACTCAGGATTAGAACCTCATTATGTTCAGTTCTTAAACGCAAAATTTTACTTCAGCAATCCTAATGCATCCTGCTATTTCAACTGGGGTTATATGTTTTCACTCAAGCTTTGGAGTCCAGTCAGAAAATGTTAGTGACACAAATTCTGAACTTTCTTTTTGACAAATGAATTCTCACAATAAGTAGATAAAGGCAGATGTAATCCAAAAGGCAGAATATTTGCAGTGAAAAGAGTGAAGTCCGAACATGGATGTTCTCTCCTGCTGTCAGCCCTGAGAATAATTTGCTACTGTTCCACCTTTGCTGTTGTTCTTTGGCTGCTGTTGCTACTGCCCAGCAATGTGAGACGTGCTGTCCGAAACTTACTGAAGTCCTTGGCTATTTTATTTCTTTTCCCTCGAACGTGCATTTGCAAATGTAGTTTTTTCCTGTTTTCCCCCGGCTGCAGCAAGACAACCTGGGATCGCAGTTCAGCCACCTGAGCCTGGCGCGGCAGGCGCCGGCCGAGGGCGCGGAGCCGGGCCCGGCGCTGTTCCAGCCCGGCGTGGTGCTGCAGCCCCCGCAGCAGCCGGGCTTCATCCTGGCCGCGCCCGCAGCGCCGCCCGCCGCGCCCGCCCCGCCCTACTCGGGCCCCGCGCACGCCGTGGGCCAGCCCGTGCTCCCGCAGCAGGGATACGTGCAGCAGCCCGTGCCACAGGTACGGTAGCGCCTCCCGAGGGCTGGGGGGAACTGCAGCTCTGCTCTTGTGCTGGGCTTGGGCTCCTTGCTGGGAACGTGTTGGTAATGAATGACTTCAGTTTACTTTCCTCAAGTAAACTGTCGACAAGGAAAGTAGAGAAATTGGCTGCTAAAGAGAGAATTTATGTAGTATAAGGGATTTTTGAATCGCTGAATTATTTAACATCTGTTGCACCTTTTAATAAACTTTGCATCTTTGTTTTATGGATTTTGCAATTAGATGTCTGCTTCTCTAAAGCTGCCTGCAGGCAGTGACCCTCTGCCTGTTCTTTGCAGATGCCACCCTGTTACTGTACCCCCAGCCAGTACCCGCACTCCAGCCAGCAGTACCGCCCCGTGTCTGTCCATTACAGCACCCAGCAGAGCCAGGCCCTGCCCCAGCCTGGCCAGCAGACAGGTTTGTTCAACTCTTTCAGCATTTCGTTAGAGCATTGGGGTGGTTTCTCTCCCGCTTTTTCATTTTAAACTTACTTTGCTGTAAAATTTCAAATAAAGTACAGGATCAAATGTAAAATGCAAAGTGTAGCTAACCTAAGGTGGAGAAATTTCAAGCACTTGTGCATGAAACTTGGGATTCAAGTCATTCCTTTGAGTGGCTCATGCTGTAACTTTAATTATAGGGTATTTTAAATGTAAAACTTAATAATTTCAAAAAATTGTGACTTAATAACTAATAACTTGATTAACTTGTGAAGTAAGATAAATTAGTACCTTTAAATGATGTGACATTCAAGAGATATCCCTTAACTGAAAGTTCTAAGCTAAAGATCCTAATCTTAGATGCTGTGGCATGAAAAGAGTGCTGTGCAGAAGATATTGGTGATACTGTTTTACCCTTTGTCCTGTGATTAAAGGTATCAGGTATTGGATGGAATATATAATGTGGTTACCTATTTTAGTAAAGACTTTTCAACTGCTTACCCTTCTATGACCGTTAGCAAGTTTCATTTCCATCTCCTTCCTTTCTTCTTGTCTTTTTCTTTTCCTTACAGATTTTAACTGTAGGCTACCATTATTCTCGCAATCTGTACTTCTAAATACTGTTATGATTTCCTCAAAAGATTTGTATTCCTGAAACAAATTTACTTCTCAGTAATATCTTGACTTGTTGTCAAAACTTCAGAAGTAACTAGTGATGTTTGGAGGCAGAGATCCTTAAAGACCAGACTTTCATACCAGCTCTCAGTTTAATCCATAACATCATTCTGAGTTTCCTTCAGGAGGGTCTTTTTAATTCCTTCCCCTGCCCCTCTATGTGTTGCTCTACAGAGACAGGATGGAAGAGCAGCTTTTACAAATATTAACTGGATTTATTTGTGTCCTGTGAAGCAGCATGTAAGAGGGATAGCTCCTCTTCTGCACTTCTTCTAGGAAGTGCTCCAACAGTAGCAACACTTGATGGAGTTATTCAGGGTTCAGTTCACAAAGATTTTTTTCAAAGGAAAACAAATTGCTTGGTTTTGCAACTTGTGTTATCCATGGTGTCAGAGATGTGTTACCCAACTGTATTACACAACCTGCTTTCCTTCTTCAGATTTTTAATTACTTAAAAGCAAAAAGTCTGAGGCTCAAGGGGGATTACTTCCCACTGTGGGGATACCCTGTGTGAGCAGCACACAAACTCCCCAAATCAGAGAGCTCAGTGTACATTTGTACCCAAACAAACCAGTCTGAGTTGGAAAGCATGGGGTGACAAGGTGCAAAGGGATGAACTGGTTGCTATTGGGTAAGTTCCTTTCTTGTATATTTTTAGCTCTTTATATTTTAACTGAATTACACAGGCTGTGGGTGAAAAGTGTCAGCAGATAAACTTCTCTGTCCTGGAAGAAATAAAATAAGCAAGCTGTGCAGACAGCTGCTCTACTGCTTTGATCATGTGCCCTGTACCTGCACTCTGACATCAGGGGATCCTGTTTAGGTACTATGGGGATGGTCCAGCCAATAATTCTGTTCAGTATTGGGTTATTTGGTGTTTACCAGCACTAATGGGAGAAAGAAGGATCTTACCAGAAACTGCATAATTAGTGTTTAACTGAAAATCTCCAAACTGCTCTCCAGCTATTGCTGGTTCTCATTTAATGCTTTATAGGCAAATTTGAATCAGCATTTTGGAAACTGATGGTTCCATGCCTGGTTATGTGTTGTGGAAATACCTCATAAGATGGTGTATTTGAAAATTCTCTCCCTTGTAATTTATTTTAAACCACTGATATTTGTATTAATTTGACACAAAGCTACACCTGAAGTGGTTGGTGCTTATTGGCAATGTGTGGTTTTGAGCCAAAGGCAGCACGTTACTTGGCTCATACAGCAAAGTGGCTGGGCAAAAATGAGAGTTACAAATCTTGCATTACACAAAAGCCATGGGGGTTGTTCATCTCAGGAAGTGGTTACTAACTATGAAATAACTTTGCAAACACAAATTCAGATAAAAGATGGCAGCTTCTGAGAGCATGGCAACTGCAGCCACTTCTGGTCTAATGTTGAGGAGTGGCCTGACTTTATTGATGAGCTGTTGGATTCGGGGCCGTAACACTGTCTGAGAGGTTTACATTTCTCACAGTGAACCGGTCTCTTTTTCAGCTGCTTCCTGGCTTCCTTTTTAAAGGGGTTTCAGGTGAAATATTTTGGGGGGTTTACTTTTGATAAAAATGCTTTCGTTGCCTAAAAGATGTTGGGAGAAGAAAACTCTCCTTGAGAAAAAAAGCATTTCCAATTGCCATGTTAGTGTGAGCCCAGTTACCATGAGACCTAACTGCAGGTTGTTTAAAAATCCAGCCTGAACTACAGTTCCTGTAGGAACATCAGCTGCAGTTCAACTGGCTTCTGCTTCACAAGCCAGGGATAAAACTGCTCCACTTGTAACAGTAGCTGTAACAGGCAAACCCAAGCTCATCAACTCCCAGCTCATTAACTGAGTGCTTGTACTTGCTTTTCTGTTCTTCAATGCACACTGTTTCTCACTCCTAATGCATTATTCAAAATATGTATTTCCATATTCTGTGAGTTAACTTTTCTTATCTTAACTGTGATTTCTTTTGAATTATGTAAATATTAAGAAACCTGCTCCTATTTTTACCTCCAGTTTCAGAGTATTTCTGTGTAATGGGGCAATGTCCTGTGCAGGTGTGGGGTCTGTGCTGAGTGCTGCATTTCTGTCAGCCCACTCTATGCAGAGGTGAAACTGCAGCTAAAAATAGAGCATTCTTTGGAACGCTCTGGGGAACCTTCGTGGCAGCCAATTTGTATTGTTCCAGTTCCCTCTGCTTGCAGAATTGATTGGCTCTGTCTCTGCAAGTGCCAGAAAAGGCTGCAGAGCTACTCACAGTCCATTGCAGTTTCTGGGACATGAGGGGCTCAGACTGCAGGTGCACTGTCACAGCACAACTTCCCATTCTGCTGCTTTCTAGGGGCCATAGACCACTTTATAACAAAGTATGTTAAAGCATTTTGTATATTACAGATATAAAGGGCATTTTGTGCACAGTTCAAACTTAAGTTATTAAGAATTCTAAGTACTAATCCTACTTCAAGCATGTATTGTTCTGAAGTTTTGTCTAGTCCTCTGAAAATATTTATAGTGTTGTGTGTTTCTAATGAATAGCTGTCTTGGTTTTAACAAACTGAATCTTCTTCCCTTTAATTTTCTGAAGCAATATTTGATAATATTAACAGTCTTTGTTTGGTGTTCATTGTTGCAATTTCTATGGAGAGCCTGCTGAGGCTGTTAGTGCACAATGTTCATTGTACTGTATGGACAAAATCAATGAACATCCGAGGGTGCTGCTCACAAAAAGGTGTTTTATGTTAACTGGATTACTTTCAGAATAGACTGAGCCTTTTTTTAGCACAGTTTAAAGAAAACCCATGGGAGTTTTTGCAGCTAAATTTGCTCTATTATAGTTCCTTGCCAAGGTAGGGAGCATGGGGAATGTCAAGGTCAGTGGGCTGTGAATGTGTCCAACTCAAACCCAGACTCTTCTTGCCGTCAGTGCATCTTGACAAGCCCAGTTTTGTTATTCTGGAGGGATAACTGGCTTTGTCTCAGAAACACTGACTGTGCTGGGGTTTTGCTGATGTGGTAAGTAGTGCACACCTGGATGATGGAACATGAGAGAAAAAGAACTTGTGTTCTGCATGTGTTTGGATCATGGTAGCAGTTACCTGTGAAATGCTTTTTAAAAAAAGAGGAAAGGGGAGGTTAGGTTGGACTTTAGAAATGCACAAATTTCCTGTTTGGCATTCATGCTTGGGGTGTTTTGGGGTGAGGTGGGATGGGGTTTTTTGGGCAATTTTTGAAAGATAGGAGAGGATACCAGTTTAAACAATAATAAATTGTTTTAGAGACACTATAGAGGGGTAAATATGAAAATCTTTCTTTGTGTCCCTAAGAACTTTGAATGTAAAACATCTTCCACTATGTACCACTTGAACTTGGCTTGAACTTGGAAGATTTTTCTCAGTCCCCAGTTGGTTTTAGCATTACAGATTTCAGAAGAAATTGCCCCTTTGGAAAGGATTTGCACACAGGCCTTATGCAAATTTTTCTGAAGTCTGATTTAGTTTTGAATTGCAGTCAAGATGCTCTGACCCCTGGGGCACCTGAGGTCCAAGCTGAATTTTGCATATGTAAAATTTTCAAACTGAAGTACCTGGAATGGCCTTGTTGACAATACCAGACAATGAATTGGGTTTGATCCTGTCTAGCATGCTTTGTTCAAGTGCTTCCAGCTTTCACCTGTCCAGTCAAGGTGTTAATGCATGTAAGCCAAGTGTAAATGATGGTGCACGCATGTGGGAGCCGCACTGCAAACAGTATGGATAATATTTCATGCTGAATCCAAATGAGTACATCTGGTAATTTTAATGTTGGCTTCTTTTTATATGCATGATAAGTTCAACTGTTGTGAAGCTGCCAGATTAAACAAGCCATTGGAAAATGCTACATGTGTATTTTTGAATAGGCAACTATGCTTAAAATGTGTTCATTATTTCAAAGTAAGATTTAAATGTATAATTTCAGGTTACCAGATTTTGCCCAACCAGCAGCAAAACTACCAGGGTTTAGTTGGAGTTCAGCAGTCTCAGAATCAAAATCTAGTCAGTGGCCAACACAACAACATTGGGAATCAAATTCAAGGTGTGATTGTTCCATATCCCTCAGTGCCATCTTATCAGGTGGGTAATGTATTCATAACTTTCCAATGACTTCTGTGGGTTTGAGTGTTGGGGTTTTCTTTAAGTCCTTTGCTTTATGGTAGAAATGGCAGAAAGCTGCAAGCAGGTGCCAAAGGTGACTGTGGGGACAAAAGCTAAAGATACAAACCCATAATGAAGTGAGAAGAAACAAGAACTTGTCACAAGTGCCCAGGTTCTAGTGCTGTTGAAAGCCAAGTGCTGTGTCAGTTGCAGTTCAGAGGGTGGGGAAGAAAAGCTTGGAAAGTTTCCTTCCCACCACTCCAGTTTCTATTGAAGAGAAAACAGCTTGTTAATTCATGGAGTCCTTTGGAGGCAACATTTCCATTTGGGAGGAAAAAGATTTAAAGTCGTTTTGTTTTTTTAATATGGTGTTGTTATTTTAGCTATGTTACCACTCTTATTCTGGTTTTAGAGAATTCCAGGAGATCTTTCAGTTTCTGGGGTTATTTTTAAATTCATATATCAGCTTGATGGTCATGAGGCAGAAGCATTGTCACAGGAGAAAGCCTCACTGTGTGGCCCTTTGCAGGTTTCGGTGCCTCAAGGTTCCCAAGCAGTGCCCCAGCAGACATATCAGCAGCCTGTGATAATTCCCAGCCAGTCCAGCCAAGGGCTGCCCACCACAGGAATGCCAGTCTACTACAGTGTCATTCCATCAGGCCAACAGAACAATCTAAGGTAAGCTTAACTTCTCAGCAGCTGGCTTCAGTGGCTTTGTAAGAACTGACAGGATCTGGTTTTAGTACTATCAATATTAAAACCATTGTTTTAAAAGCAGACTTACATTCTATTTATTCTTTGCTCTTTTGCAATTAAGTGAAACAAGCAGTAGTGCTTTAACTGTGACATACTTGTTGGACTGGAAAACTTTGTCTCCATAGCACTCTCAGCAATACTTTACTGCAGTTCCACCTCTTAAATTTCCTGCATTCCATTTCTTACCCATGAGACACCAGTGTGCTCAGCAGTTCAGTCTTTCTGCAGTAATATTTAAGATGACTATCCATATTCACTGGTTTTGACAAAGATACTACATGAATAATGTGCAGAGGAAAAATAATTTGAATCCCAGAAAAAGACTGACTTCTTTTTTGGAACTTTGCATGGAAAAGGTTTAGCTTACTTTGTATTGTAGATGAGGCCTGCTGGCACCAAGCTGGGTGTGAAACAAGTGTGGAAACTTGGCTTTTATTTGATAAATAACCTTTTTTCTTTTCTTTTCTTTGTTTTTTTACCTGCCTTGGTAGCAGCAAATTGGTCTGCATGTGCAGCCCTCCCTGAGTATACATCTGTGTCTATTTGAGAACAGATAGGAAGTACCTAGGAGAATTCATTAGGATTCAGCTTCTTACACATTTTTCTTTCTCGAGTTTTTTTGAACTTACAAATGTGCAGCATTTAAAAATACCTGGGAGCTTTTAAACAAGCAGCAACAGTTTGAAGCTTGTTCATCCTTTTGAGAGTGCAGAGCTCGGTTGTATTTGTGCCATCGCCGCATGGTTTTGTCTGCTTAAATCTGGATTCCTGTTCTTTGTATCTGAAGGGTTTTTAATCCTTTTCTGTTTTATATTTGAGATTCAGTGAAGTCACAGGTAGGCATAATTGCAGACTTTTCTTGAATCAAGTTTGGTTGCTTGATCTTTTGTGTAATTTAGAATGTCCCTCTCATTTATTAGGAATTCAGAGCAAACTAGCAACCAAAGACAGCATTTGCTTTCATCAGAATAGTTTGCTGCAGCACTTGGACAAGGGAAGCAGAGTGCTGTTCTGCAGGAGCTGTGTCAAGCCTTCAGGTCACTGCTGAAAACTAGAATCAGTAGGCAGAGCAGAAGTTGTGTGAAAGCATCTGTGTTTTCACTTGGTTTTGTCTGCTTTAATGGAAGGGAATCTTTAAATTAAAATTATATAAGTGACCTATGGGACAAAGGATGGAACAAACTTTCGATAACATGGGTAAAAATAGTAGGTCCAGCAGGGTTAAACCTACTTTTTTTCCCACAATTTAAAGGAATTGTTTTATTCTCAGAATGGCTATCTGTTAGTACAGGATTCTATAGGCACTGTTCTGACTGTGGTCCACCAACCTGATGTTCTGGCTGAGCACTAGTGATAAAATAGAATCTAACTGTCTGTTACCTGGTTTTCCCCTGATTACCCTGAAAAGCTACCTGGCATAAATAAACTTTGCAAGTTATCCTTTTCCTACATTTTGCAAGCAGCTGAATGGTTGTTTATCCCCTGGAGTCCTGTTCCATCCCCTCTCTCTCTGCTGTGCTGCCCCAGCTGCCCAGGGCCAGCCCCCAGCTGAGGGACTGCATCCCAAATCCTCATGGCAGGGGCTGTGGGGATCTCATAACTGAGACCTGATTCTGCTGCAGGGAGCAAGACAACTAATTGTCTTTTTGTTGTTATTATGCTGCCTGTCTTTATGCTGATATAGAGCTGTGGACACAAAAATAGAATATCAAAATAGGTGAATTAATGCAGTTTCTCAGTGTAGGCAGGGCACGTGTTTTTGCTGAGGAAGAGGTGGGAAGCTTCAGTCTTGTGAAGAATGAATGAATTGAGGGTAGGTGGGAATATTACTGATTTAAAATGAACAAAAGCTCAGTGATTTGCAGTACATGTACACAGCAAATGCAGGAGTCATGATTAAATAAGTGCAGCATAAATGCCTGTTAGTCATGTTCTTTTTTTGTTATTACAGTTCATCTGTAGGATATTTGCAGCCTCCTGGATCAGAGCAGATACAGTTTCCTAGAACATCATCACCATGCAACTCACAGCAGCTTCAAGGACAGCAGTGTGCAGGTTGGCAGAACAAAGCTTTTATTGATAAGCTTAAAAAATGTCTGGCTATTATTATACTGGGTGATTGGATATTTGCTATTAAGGGTTTGATTTAGAATTAACTGCTGTATTCTATTTCTTCTTTTGTTCCATTTTTTAATTTATTTTCCATTTTTAACACTGAAGCAGATTAATTTGAAATCTCAATTTTTTTAATCTTTGAAATACCTCAAGTTACTTTCTTAAAATCCAATACCATACATCACAATACCTTGCATGTCTATGGGTGAGTTCAGACAGACATGGGAACCACACACTGGCAGCAGAGTCCCTTCCATCCTTTTCTCAATAGCCAGATGGGTCTGAAAACCTTGGGATTTGGATCTCTGTTTGACAGAAGGAGTGAGGTACATTTTGGAAGCAGCACACTTGGCTCTTCTACTCAAGAACCATTCTAGATTTCAGTTAACAGAGTAGGAGCAGTGATTTTCTTGAGGGGAGTTTGAAAACTGGGCATTGTGGGGCAGCTTTTTGACCTGCTGGAAAGCTGAAAGAACTTCAAATTTGTGTGGGGTGTGTTGTTTTTATGGCAGCCTTATTCACTGCTTTTACTTTCATAGTTTATAGCAACCATTCGAGTCAGAAGCCTTCACCTCCTACATTATTGCCACCTTCATCCAAGTCAAAGCCACAGCAGGCTGCTTCCATTGTGCACTACAGCATAGTGTCTCCACCCTCATCATGTAAAAGTTCACCCACTGGTCTTTCCATCATGCAGCCAAAAAAAGGTATCTTTTCTTGGGATTTTCATCTAAGCCATTCTGTCTAGAACATGCTGTAAATTTGCAGATTGGTTTCATGGCTAACTGCTAGAACAACTGCAACTTGAGTGCCATCTCTGATTATTTTTTTTTAATTCTTCATCTGTATTGCTATTATTGTACCTTTTAAAATGATGAATGGGATTTTAAGTGAAACAGTGGCTGATGGGGGCAGCCTGGAGCCACCCTCACTCAGCAGGTAAATGTTACTCAGCAGAAACATTGAAGTCAGGTTCAGAAGGTTTTGATGTACAAAATATTGGGTCATTTTTAGAAGGTGTGTAAACAGAAGCCTCAATGTGTTTGAAAGCAGTGCTGACATTGATCTTATCAGTCCATGAAACCTTTATAAATGTTAATGTCCAGACACTTAAAACTCTGAAGGTCCAGCCATAAAATTGATGATGGACTGGTCAGGAAAACAAGAGCACTAGGGTTAGCCACCAAACTAATTGAGAGAGAGATTACAGAACAATCCTGTGACCACAGTGGCACAGTCTTTATTTACTGTTAGGGAATCTGATACATTAGAGGCTTGCTTGGTAAAAAAGGGATAATCTCAAATTCTGCTATCTCAGTATTTTGCAAGCAAGCACTAGATTAAACAACACTAGATCAATGACCTACATTCTGCTACAGGTGTGGTGTTTTTACAAACATTTATCTTTAAAGTGTTTTTTGAACCTGTTTATTAGTAAATAGATAACATGCAGTTAAGTGGCAAGAGAGCTGGATCAGCAGTTCATGGGCAGGTTTGGTTTGGTTTCCATTTTGCTTCAAGTTTGTTTGGCTTTAATTCTGGAAGGTTGTCATTTCAGAATGTCCAAAGGGAGCCTTGCACTGGTTTGTTTTTCTGCCCTCCTATCCTGGAGTGCTGGTTCTGTGCAGTTTGGATGGCCTGGTTCAGACCTGGAAACTGGGAGTTCTGGAAGTTTCAGGAAGGAGGAAGCCCTCTATGGGAGAGCAAATTCTGGGGAATAAATCAAAACTTGTGCTTTTCAGCAAGTGAGGACATTGAGGTGCTGAGTGAAGGCCCCTGAGGCGGGGCCAGTGAGCAGGAGCACAGACAGCAGCACAGTTGTGTTGCAGGGGAGCAGCTGTAAAGCTGGGGAGGCTTTGAGGGATTTCTGCATTTCCCTTCTCATGGGATCTGACAGGTCATAAAGTGTCTGCAGACTGACTGTACCACACTTCATTGTGTCAGGATGCTTGCTTAGGAAAAGAATTCCATTTATTTTCACTGCCTGAAATGCTGGGGAATTAGAACCAAAAGAAAAAACATGATTTTCTGAATGCATCAAGTTTTCTTTTGCAGTTTAAATTGAATTTTAGATTGACACTTTTAGAGATGGTGGTGTAGATGTTTCTGGAAGACAAACATGTTTTTGTTGGGTGTTCATTCTCACAGAACAGAGATAAGTCAGAAAGAGTATGCTAGAGTGTTGCAGAGTGTAATACTGTATATAAACCAGTAAGCTGTAAATGATTATAATCTATAAAATATATAAATATATACATACAATATTAAAATGAAACCCACTTTTGTGTGCTAGAGGTAATGTGTGTATAGGTGTTTGGCATATCTCAGGTAATATATAGGGACTAGGTAAGTTTATGGCTTTACCAGTGGAAAAGTGTTGTGTTGTATATTATTCTGATTATGTAGCAGTCATAAACAGAGTTTATTCTGTTGTGCAACAAAACAGAAATATTCACAATGTGGCTCTTGCAGGGACTCCTTAATTTGTATCCTCTGCTAAAGCTGGCCAGATACCTGATGCTTCAATTGCAATCTGTAACACCTGGGTAAAACTTCTTGCTATTAAAAAGAAAATATAGATGTGAAAACATTGTTAATTCAGTTAGCCATGTAATAAATATTTCCAAATACAATTTACAAAAGCTAGTGTAGTTTTAGTGTTATGCATTCTTTATTCTACCTAGTTTGGTTTGATTTTTGAAGAAGTCTCTTTCTTTTTGTGGAGCCCAGGGGTAGTGAAAACAATAGCCCATTACAAAAAGCACCAAATGAATGCATTTTATCATCTGTACCTTGATGCTATGACGTGGCAGTAAATTTAGAAGACTGCAGAATCCTCCTTTCTGGATGATTAAATCAAGTTTAAAGTGTGTTTTAATCTTGGTTTCTGAGAAATGTTGTAAAGCAGACAAGGAAATTGCAAACAACCATTTACAAATAGAAAGGGCATTTATATAAATTACTTGGGGCAGAGGGGGGAGCTGGTTTGTCTCTTGGGCAGCCTCTCCTCACAGCTCCTGGTGTGAAACTGCAACAGTGCTGGATGTTGAGGGGGAGTTTCTGTGGCTGTCCCAGGACCCAGGTGGGGCAGGGTGTGGGGATCAGTTTGCAGTGTCTGCCCAGAAAAGCATTCCAGGGAGAACTTGTAAGTGAGGGGAAGCCTGCCTGGACTAAAGGTTGATCCCAGGTCTTTCTGATAGATGCCATTGTATCAGAGAAACATTTTGAGCCTGCATTGCTGGACATCATGTAAAACTATTTTCACTTAATATCACATTCTGCAACACAGTGCTCTGACAGAAACTGCAGTCAATGTTGAATACTGTCAGCTACTAATAAACAGAGTGATTTTTTTTCAAAAACATTCTCAGCAATGCGTTTCAGTGGCTCCACTATCTCATTTCTGGGAAGCCCTCTCTCAGCTCTTGCAGCGTAGGTGAAAGTGGCAATGTAATTATTGTACAGACGACACTGCTGCAGTTTCTCCAACGAGCAGCTCCTTTAGGCAGCCACGTTCCGGGTGTCGCTGCCCCTTTCCGGAGCGGGCAGCGCTGACGGTGCCGCCTTTCCCTCCCTCCCTCCGTCCCTCGCTGTGTTGCAGGCGCGGCGCCGCCCGCCGGGGGGGTGCTGATGATGCAGCTCAGCGTGCCCGGCAGCGCCGCCCCCCGGAACCCGTCCCCGCCGCAGAGGAGAGCGGGCAAGTTCTACTGCGAGCCCGCCCGCGGGCACAAGGGCACGGACGGCAGCACTTTAGACGGGGCTGCGCAGGTACGGGCTGAGGCCTCATTGAAATGGGCAACACTTCTGGCTTTTTCAAAAGTTCTTTCTGGGGAATGTGAAAAATGCCTATTTTATCATTGGCTTTTTGCAAATAATAAAATGAATATTGTATGTGTTGTGTTAGAAAGTAATGCTGTATTAATTCTTTTAAGTAGCGTGTTAAATATAGTTTTGGGTTATGAAAAAATGCTAAAAAAATATCCTACATAGCATAGTTTCTATTTTAAAGAAAGGATTTGCAGTGAAATAGCAGCCACAGGACACCTAAGTCTTTCAGAGAAAAAGAATTTCTTGCCCTCTTATCAGAAGAAATTAATTTCTTCCCGCCTCGAAGGGCTCTGTCAGGATTCAGAGGATGAAGTTGAGGATGACCAGACAGAATTCTGGATTTAAATGGAATTTGTGCATCATGTATGAAGTGTATGAATATGCCACAGGCTGTTGTTTTTAAGGGTTAATCCTCTGTTAACGCGTGTCCTTTTTCAGGCTTGTGCTGCCCAGAAAAAGGTACCTGGACATCCATAACTCTTTGTCTCTATTGTCTCATATTGTCCTAATTCAAATTGTCCAAATTATTATTACTCTAATTGTATTACTATTTTTATAACCATTTTATTACTATAAACTTTCAAAATTTTAAAAACAAGTAATTGGCGTTTTTCACAGGGAATAAAAATCTTGCTCTGGTTACTAGAGCTATTTTAACTTTTTGTAAATTTTGAAGGCTGTGGGTGCTGTTCAGCTTGTTCCAGTAGTACTTATGAACCACTGAGGTGTTGTTTATTGCAGCTGCAGCACAGTCCTCAACTGGGCAGCCCTGGCACCTCACCAGCCCAATCACCAGCACCAGCCCAGCTGTCAAACATGAAGAACATCCGTCCCACACTGGCACCTCTGTCTATCGTGTCCCAGTTTTCTAGACCTTTTGTCCCTGGACAAGGTATGTTTTTAGTTAACTAAAATGTGTGTGATTCCTATTTGAAAATTTCTATTTGTTTTAAAACACAAGTTATATGAGAATTTTCTGATGAGTTGTGACTCACTTTAGTAGTATTGCTGTTGAAACAGAATCACCAAAATTATTCACTCAAACATCATTTAAAATTTCATCTGATCTCTCTGCACTGGTACTGTCCCTCATATCTTCAAAGGCTTTTCATCTCCCCATTAATGTGTTTAGCACACTGGCTTTCTCATATTGTGACATTTCAGTATTGAAAATATTAATAAAATGTTTGCTAGAATTTGGCTTCAAGTCTTAACCATAAATCTTGAGTTGATAATGCACTGAATTGCACCACAGCCTAAGCATGTATTTTTCATTCCTCTGTAGAACAACAAGCATTATGGGATGGAGCCTTTAGCCAGGACTGTACCTCAGTATCTCAGATAGGACCCACCCAAGGACACAAAACATTCCTTGAAGAGGAATTTCAATCTTCTGCTGCCATGTCAACAGAAAATAGGGAGTTTTCACTGAGTTGGGATAGTTGATAATACAATGATATAAATCCTTTTTGTCAGTGAGCAAAAGTATCCTGCTAAAATTCCCAAACTCAAAATTAACAGGTCTGTTTTACAGAAAGATTTACTTTAAAGCAAAACTTACATGATCTTTGTCATTGCTTTGTGTTCTGATGTTGTATCAATCCCAGGTGGGCTGTTTGAAGCACACTCTTAGCTCCCTTCATCTGCTGTGCATTGTCTTTGTGCATCCTTGCAACAAACAGGAATCTCAAGATGGGCCTGGCTCTAATCAGGGCTGTAACCATGAAATGACCAAATCAGCATGCTGAGAGGAGCTTTAGACTTATTAAAGTCATTTTGAAATGAAAGGACTTATCTGAGACTGCAGTGAAGAAAACCTTTGAGTGTAATCCTGAAATAGCAGCAAGGTTGTACCTTTCCACCCTGGGATCAGGACGTGGTTGATACTGAGGAGTCAGGGCAGCTCTGAGTGTGTTAGCCAGGCAGACTCTCAGCTTTGTGCACAGCAGTTCTGCTTTCTCTCCTGTGTAACATTCTCAGTGTGACAGGGACTTGGAGGAAGCTTTCCTGTCCTAGAAAAACCCTTCTAATTGCCTTTCTCTTTAAGGAGATGCCAGATACCCATTGCTTGGCCAACCCCTGCAATACAATCCATCTTTGTTACGTGGACAAGTAACAAGCCAACAGGTATTAACAGAGAACAATCTCATAAACAATGAAAAAAAACCAATTCAGGGCTACCATTACAGCCACCTAGAAGAGGGGAATGTGTTATTGCACTTGGAGAGTAATTGAGTGGAAGGTGCTGGCTCTGCAATAAGTTCTATTCCATGTCAATACTCCCCATTGTTCTTGTTTGTTGTATTAAAAAGTGAGAAACATTTATCTGAATTATGGCTTTTGGTTTTAAGCACTTCACTAGCTAATTCAAAAATCTAAAGGGGACCCTTTGCTAAAACTATTTTCTTTTATTCAAGTAACCATTTCTAAAAAGAAAAGTGGTAATTTTTAAACAAAGAGTGGGTTTGTTCCTTTTAAGAAAAACAAACCCAAAATATTGGCATTAGCAAAGCTGAAAAGTCTTTGCCTCTATCTAATTTCTGGGACACACACACACCCTGCCTCTGCCTTGCTCAGCTCCACCCAATGGCAGCTGGAGGATGTGATGGCTGGGGCAGGGGGATGTTCTTCCAAGATGATTTTTTTCCCCCATCATTGCCTCCCTTTCCTCTGTAGTGAAGGATTGAATGTGCCTGACTGTAGATTATCAAACTCAGGAACTAAAATTGGATGTGAGGGTGCTCTCTGTCCCATGGCAGTGCAGGTTATTTTCCAGACCTTGCTCTGCACTGCTTGTCACTGAGCTGACATCAAAGTTCAAGGTACTGGTGGATTGTCATTGACGTACCCTCTTTATGCCAATCTTGCCAGTGTCAGCCTGGAAACAGACACGGGAACAGGGGAAAGAAACCAGCAAAGAAGGCTGCTTCAGCAGATCTTGGTGCAGGAGAGCCAGGTATGGAACTGCTCACTGACACTGTCCTCCAGAAAAATGAATTATGGTGCTGGGCTGGGAGTGCACAAGAAAGCTCAGGTGAGAAGGGCCAGAGCCAGGAGCAATCAGACAGAAATGGACATGGCAGACACTGGAAACATAAGGAAGGGGAGGAAAACATGGAGAGAAGGGAAAAGGAAAGTTAAATGGGAAAAGTGTAGTTTTGAAGGCTGGAGAAAAAACCAGAGAAGTTCAGGATTGGAGAGTACTAAAAGAAAGAGCACAAGTGTGTCAGTTTACTGGGCCTAAGGTCTGTGATATTGTTACATTAAATATTAACTATACACAGCTGTGCTTCCTTTTACTGGCCTAACAAGTGAAATCAGACAAAATCCACAAATTAGTTTGTGCTCTTTGCTTTGTTTTGGTTTTAGTTTTTCCCATTTTAGTATATTTAAGCACATGGATGTGGGAGACATACTAGGAGATCTATAGATTAGCTTGTTGGAATTTATAAAGGTGTCATCTTTTATGATGAAAATGAAATCTGATGGCATCTCTCTTAATACATTTACTGAGAATTTTTGCTACCTGCTGTCACCTCTTCACAGAAAGTTACAGAAAAATCAGTTTTTCTAACAATTTAGTGGAAAGGATTTTCTTGAGGTAAGGCAGACTAGTTTTTTTGGCATGGTGATCTGTGAAGTGTTACCAGGCAAGGCCAGTGAGATGCTATAGTGAGTTCTGAAACCTGCTGCAAAATGAGTTGTTGATGATTTTATTTCTCCCTCTTTGTTTTGAGGACCCTCTTTGTATTCCCAGCTTTTATTTGCACTCTTGTACAAGTAAGCAGATTGTAGTTATAAGCAATGTTAAATGTGAGACCAAAGGCTCTCTAGAATATCAGGAAGGCAAATGCTGTGGGTTTGGTATCACCAAGTGGAGATACAAGTGTGAAATAAGTCATTTTTTGTTGCAGTGTGATGTCATAGCCCGTCTCAGTTATCCTGGTTCCTTCCCCAGGTGTGCCAATCACCTCTCCCTTCCCCTCCCTTGCCCCTGCTGAGTGCTGTCTGTCAATCGTGGCATTCCAGAAGGGCGTTGTTGGATTGGCAGAGTTCAAAAGCTGCCTCTCAGCCCTGGGGGCATTGGACCATCCAGGTGTCATCTGTCCCCTGAGACCCCCCCTTACCTGGTTGGTGGCACACCTACCCCTTCCCTCCCCCTCTCCCCGGGGTTAAAAGACACAGCAACCACAGGGTGAGGGAGTTCTGTTGGAGCTGCTGCTGCATTCAGAGGCCTGTGGGCCAGAATAAAGCTCTGGATCCAAACCCTCCAGCAGAACTGACTCCTTTCCTTCACCTTGCCTTGAAGCCTCTCTACCAGAGGCAAACCTGAGCTCCTGCATGCCTGGACTGGTCCCAAGCACCCAGCTGCAATATCCAGCTAGCCAAAATTTTTCATTTAGGATGTTGTATCAATAAGCGCAATAACAGATTTAGATTCACTGTTTTTCTTCTTTCAGTTGTGGGCAAAGTTCTAGAAATTACTGAGCTGCCCGAAGGCATCACTCGCATGGAAGCAGAGAAGCTCTTTGGGGAACTGTTGAAGGTGGGTGCCAAGATCCGGTGGCTGAGGGACTCGCAGTGCCAGCAGCAGCAGCAGCGGCGGCTCTGCGGGGACGGCGGCGGGGGCGCCGGGGACTTGGCCTCCAGCTACACGGTGCTGGCCGCCTTCCCCAGCCTGGCGGCGGCGCAGAGCGCGCTCAAGAGACAGAGCGGCGGCGCGGGCGGCAAGTTCCGCCTGAGGAGCAGCAGGAGGCACCAGGAGCTGCACGGCCTCGAGAGGGCCAGCTCGCAGTAGCGGCAGCGCCGCGCCGGGCTCGGCCCCTGCTGCCGCCGCGCTCCCTCCTCCGTCGCTTCGGTGTCAGGGGCTTTCCGTTGTCTCCAGAGAGACTCCTGGGATCTTTTGTCACGTGACATTTGCCATTGAAGAATAAATAACCCAGTGAATCCAGCAAGATGAAGAACAAAATTTCCAGAGTTGCTCCCAGACGATAGCAAGGAATCATCTTTGCGACAGGCGGCTTTCTGTGAGGAACGCTGCTGAAATGCCCCCTACTTTTATAGTAGTTTTGTTTTATATTTTTGAAATCTTGTATCAGATCCAAAGTTCTATTGTACAGCAGATGTTCATAAAAATCCATATGCAGATTTGTATTTTATAATCCCTTTTCACAGCCAGCACGCAGCAGTCCATTCCAAGGCAGGAACCTGAGGATTGCTGGAGGGGAAAAGAGAACCATTCTTAAGGAATTATATTCATTTTCTAGCAAACTACCCAACATCTTCAAGTTAACCTGTTCTTTGCCCCTTGTGTGTTTTTTCTTCTTTTCTTTCTTTTTTTCCTCTCTTTTTCCTTTTTCTTCTTTTTCTGTTTTTCTTTAAGAAAAAAAAGAATGTCATTTTAGTAACTAACTCCTTAGATGGTCATTGTCTTTTGCAATATTTTCAAACAATGTCAAAAGAAATTACAAGTTTGTACCCTTGAAGAATTTGCTTCTGATCCAGCAAGTTTAATAATTACTAGAAGGGGATTATGAATAGGTTACAAAGAATGTTCACTGAATCACATTTTAATATTTCTTTTTAACATAAGTGTGAAGAAACTTTATGTATCTTCATACAAGTGACAAAATGTTTGCACTTTAATTGTGTTCCCACCAGTATGGGTCTCTTTCTCTTCCTTTTCACGCTAAGATAATTGTTTGGTAAGTGCTGGAAACCTTTTTAATAGTTTAAGTTTTCATCATTTGCAGATGCTCACTGGACATTAAAGATTCATTGCACATAAATGAAACAAAACTTTTTTCAACTTGTGTAATTTGCAAGTCTGTACAATGTGTGCTGATGCAAGCCTTTTTCAGTTCAAAAGAATAAATGTTTACAAACACGAACTTTTTCAGTGCACTTGTTTAAGCTTCTAGGAGTCTTCTGAAACCTGGATGAGCTCATATTAATGGCTGGAATCCTTTCAAATGTGAAAAAAGATCTTAAACCCACAAATATTAGAGCCTCTTAAAAAAACACCTGCTGTTCCTCCTCTGGCATTTATGTTATCCAGCCCTTCATAATATTTAAATGTTTATATAAGTAAAAAAGAGAAAACAGTCGGATGCTGTAAGGGACTGCTCCTGATTTTTTATTTTTAGCTCAGGAACTGATTTGCTGTGTAGACAAGCAACTACTTGGTCACTTCCTAAGGCTGTCACTTTGTGCATGTGTGACTTCTGAAAGAGGAAACTCAAAGTAAACTTTGTGTTTAAAAACGTTTTACAGGGGATAAAGGTGAAGAATTAAGGTGCCTAGACCAGCATTAATTTCCATTGTTTATACAAATGATTCTATCCCTGAACACCCAAACAGTGATGAAGTACTTGGAGGAAAACTTAGAAAACTGACCTGTCTGGGAATAATGTAGCCTAATAAATTAGTTTTATGGGACTTGATTCTGTGAAATGCTGTAGCAACAGGGATTTACTAAAGGTCAACTTAGATGCTCCCCTAAAACAAAGGGGAGGATGTTCACTTCAAGTCCCAGATAAAAGACAAATCTACTCATTGCAGTCTGCTTTTCTGCAAGGATGGCACTTGGCATTCAGGTGGTGCTTGACTGAGGATGCATTTCTTGCTGCAGTTTGCTGCACCCAGAGCCCCAGTTGATCAATAACCCCTCCTGAGCAGCACAGACAGCGTGGCCACTGCTGCATTCTGTCCCTGCCTGCTGCTGCTTGCCATGCTAGTTCAGGATTATGGTTTAATCCTGTAAAAGCAGCTAGGAGGGTGAAGGGCTGTAGGGACAGGTGTCTCAGCCCAGCTTCCCATTGTTAACTCCTTCCACAACAAGGTTCTTCCAAGATGTAGAAGGGCAGGCAGCAGCTGAGAGCTTCCATCTCTTCTGAAAGTCCCCAGCACTAAATCTGTATCAAATCAAACCCTTCCCAAAGGATCTTGCATGGCTTGCTGCATTTCAGAAACTGTCCTCCCAATAAACTGAGAAGAAAAGGTAATGTGAGATAAACATGGAGAATGCAGCCCAAACAACAGGAAGGGAGGGATACACTGGTTAGGAATAAGGCACAGAAAATATTTAATTTTTATCAAAGAAGTTATAAACTCGAATGCAAGTTGCCCTAGAGTAAAACATTCAAACATGTAAGAAGCCGGTTGTAGTCTAATCCAGAAACTGACCCTTTCCAGTTAGGTCTGCCCCCTTTCTGAGAATGTTTCACTCTGTGTTAACCAGGGATGGTCATGTTATTTTATCTGGATGTGCTGGTATGAGCCCCACAATTCACAGGACTCTGGCACTGCCAGAAGTTTCTGATGTCTACAGTGGGCAAATATTAAAATATTTCCACTTCACAGTTGTGTTTATTCCTGGGTTTGTGCTGTTTCATACTTCCTCTAGTAAGCAAACAGGATGCAGACTCATGTAACCAAGCCACTTTGTACCTTCCTGGCCTTTACCCCCTTCTGCCCCTTTTGGTTCCTTAAACACGAGCCCAGGCACTGTGCAAAACCCCTGGAATTGCATTTGTTCCACGGATTTGGATCACAGTCTAGAAAGCAAATAAAAGCACTTTATGCATGTAAGAGATGCATGTAAAATGCATTCCCATGTTCCAAACAAATCTTATAGTACTCCAGTGTATTTGAGCTTCCTCTCATTTACCATTAAAGCTATTTTTAAAGCAAATAGTGGCAAAAGGGATTAAGTGGGGACTTCCATTGCAGCAATATATTATATTTTGTTTTACTGAGAGCATGTCTTAACTTTTTAAAACTAAAGAAAAACACTGGAAGAATAAGCAGAAAAGCTGAAGAATTGCAGCCATTACCTACTCTTTCTTGATTTTAATTTTTAATTGACACACTTATAGTGCAAAATTCCTCCCTGAACTGTGAACACTGCATATAATGTTTGATAATTAAACCTTAAGAATATGAATTGAAGCCCCATACTTTGAGGACTCTCCAATGCACACGGGCCTGATGCTGGAATTGGGTGGCTCATTGCAGCACCCCCTCAACACCCTCACAGCCCACATGTGCCATGTGCCTGCCAGCCTGCCAGGGCTGCTTGGGAACAAGCATCTTGCATCTTCCCTGGCACTCCTGCCTGAGTAAAAGTCACCTGTTCTAATATGTGTTCCTTTCACTCTCATACACTTAGAAAAACAACAGGAAAAGGAGCAGAGCGTCTCTGAAGACAAACCCTGTGCTGTGGTGTGCTCAGACTGCAGAGCTTGGGTGTCTCCACCTGCAAGCACCCCAACCCTTTTGCAGGACGTGGTGTTTGAGGATCCAGTGGCACAGGGCAGCTGTTTGCAGATGGGGTTTTAGCAAAGCACCACAACTGTGTAGTTCCATGAATCCAGGAAGGTACCTGGGTACAGGGAGTTTTTACCTATTTGCCATCTTCTTGCAAGCCAGTTCCCTCTCAAGGTGGATTGAATAGCTGTATTCTCATCCTATGACACTCATTTGTGCCTTAAAACTTCACACTTAACTTGTCTGTTGTTTTGAGTAAACCTTGTACTAGCCTGGATGCCTGGAAGGGAGTCAAAATTACAACTTTCTATAAATACTATTTAGTTCCATGTTATATTTTTTCCACATAAAATTGGTGCAGGCTTTAAGTATTCAGCCCTGAAGCAAAGAATGTTTAGATGAAGCTTTGGAGAAAACTGACCAAAACACTTTTAAGTTACAGGTCATGAAAAATTATTGTAGCTGGAATTTTTATATATTTCTAAATATGAAAGGAATTATTTCAATCCCTTCAGTGTTTCTACAGCTTGGTTTTCATGAAGGCTGATGAAGGTCTTTTCATGAAGGTCTTCTCTATGTCCTATTCACATTTAAAACATTTTGGGTTCTTTGGCTATTGATGTAAGTATAAAATTAAAGTGCACAACATTAATGTGACTTCATTTTGGAAGCTTCATTTCTTGGGTGTAGAACCCTTCAAAGGGCCTGATTTCCAGAACAATCTGAAAATTAAGCCCCTGTAAGTTATCTTATTCTGGAACCTAAGAGCAAAGTCTCCATCCACATCCAAAACCTTCAGTGTAAATTTAAATTACCTCTTGGATTACTTGAAAATGTGTGCAATTATGTTCTCACCACAATGTGTGTGAGCCTCCTCTTGCTTCAGTGTCAGCCTCGTGCCCTCAGACCCACAGGGCTGGGGTTTGGCCCTGGCTCAGTTCAGCCCCCACTGCAAGGTTTCGCTTTTATCCTGCTTGCAGCTACCTGATGTTCTGCAATGTCTGTCAAAGTCTGTTGGGTTGGAAGTGGAACTTGCTGAAGACCTGATCAAGCATTACAATTTGGTCCAGGACACAAACACCGCAGTGTTTGCTGCTGTATTTTCATTTTCCAGTCTCACTGAGCCATGAAAAGGGATGCTTGCAGCTGTAAAGGACTGTGCCTGCACTCGGGAAGAGGAACCCCAATGTCACGTGAGCCTGGTGCTGTAAACCAAAGAGCTGTAGAGGACAACCTGTGTGTCACTGGCAGCTGTATGCTTTCAAAACTGGAATAAGTTACAAAAATAAACTGTGTTGCTGTGGATAATGCTTAACAGTGAGGTTTATTTTTAATTCAGCTCCTGTGCCCCAGTTACCTGGGAATCTGAATTAGCTGGGATTGATGAGGATCCACGGTGCTGACAGCAGGGGAATGTTTGAGAGCCAGGTGAGCAGAGGTGGAAGGGCAGGGACTGACTCCAACACCCAGGAATCTGTTACACTTCATCTCCCAGAATTACTTGGCAGGTTAAAAAGAATATTTACATGCAATATTGCACATCATACTTCAATGAGAGTGGCCTCAGTTTGAATTTGAGAGGGAGAAGCTGGCATTCTGCTTTTTTCTCATATCCTAACTTCTGCCCTAGCTGTAGGGTTAATTAGCTTTGCCCTTCTTTGGTTTTCCAATGTAGTTAACAAGAAACATCATTATTGTGTGTCCTGATAGTCTACCACACTGATTTATAGCAGGCCTTGACTCCACAGTTGCTCAAATTTGCTGACTTTTTACTTGGCTTAAACTGATAACTTTGATTTGTCAATTAATTGAAGGGTGAAGCAACTGTGCAATTTAAAATAGGAATTCCCTAATGAAGATACTTCCCATTTTGATCCAGATGGATGTGTTCTGGTTTTGGGGAGAAAAAATTCTTTTAGAATGCAAATGACTGCCTTGCATTGTTTCCCATGCCAGTAACTGAAAACACACAAGACATCTTCCTTCAAAGAACTCAATCCCAGGTAATGCTCCAGCTGTTAAATTATTTTTTCTCAATAAAATTTTCTACTTACTAGTTGGTTATCCTGTCTTTTTCTGGGGCTACAAACTGCAGCCCTCTGTTGTTTCCCCACACACCTGTGCTAAAGGCTCTCAGCAAAGACATATCCAACAAGTCAGTGACCCTACAGTTGGAGACTTCCAAAATTGTGTTTTTTGAGAATGTAATATAAATACTTCCTGAGGATGTAAGAGGTTGTATAAGAGATTGTACACCTTCACAAAAATTACATGTCCAGTCAATATAAGCCCTTTTTTTCTTCCTTGTATCAAGTGGTATCAAAGAGTTTGAAAATCACATTTGCAAAACAATTTTGAAAACACACAGTGTTCAACATTTTACTCACCTGTCTCGTGAAACTTGGCTTCCAAGTTAGGGTTCCAAATCAGATGCAGTAAATGCAAACTACAGCTGCTGGAAGTGCCAAGAGAATTAATGCAACACATCGAAATTTATTAGAGAATTCAAGATACACCTTACAACCTAACCTCTTCCTTCCATGCTACACATGCAGTTGTGTAAGAGATATGTGTCTTTGTTCATCTCCAAAAATAAATTCAGTTTGATACCATCCAACCTTGGGCATTGCCCTTAAATCTGTTTTGTATCATAAAGGAAATACAAAAATATCTGTTGTTTTTTTTTTTTTATGCATCTCAGGAACATGTTCTGATGGTATTTCTTTAAGAAACTTGCAGAGGCACGACACACATGCAAAGCCTACCCAGTGAGCATTACTGTGACACCACTTCCACATGCTGCATCTTGGGAGAGGTAAAACAGATTCTGTGCGCTGTTGTCAACACTGATTTGCTTCCTTTTCACTGTAAGGCTGAAGGATTTCTTAGTTGGTATTATCCAGTTACACAAGGTACAACAGTGAAAGATTTCCAGACTGAGAGACTCTGTGGTTTTTGCCTTTCAATATTTGAGTACCTGCCTCAGCAAGTTACCCAGTACACACAGTCACAGCCCTAAGGGTGTTTTAGAAGAGCTCAAGGGCAGTGTTCTGTCCAGAATGTAATCACCAGAGCACCTGACATCAACTGTGCTGGCCCAGTTGCTGTGAAATGTCTACCAAGGCATCCTCCTGCCTTGCTGCCTGTGCTGCCAGTCCCTCACAAGGCCTGGGAGGAGGGAGGATGTCCTGGCTTCACCTCCTGCCTCTCGTGGAGGATCTCTGCACACCATACTCTTTTTTTGTTCTATTTAACATGGATTTGTGTTGTTTCCTCCATCACTTTCAACCCACTTTGAGGGTGGGCGCTGGGGCAGGGATGGCTGTGGCCATCAGTCCTCCAGCCCCAGGTGCAGGAGGTGCCCCTTTTTCTAGCAGCTGCCTCACAGAACCATGGAATTGTCAGGGTTGGAAGGAGCTCTGGACATCACCCTGTCCAAGCCCCTGGCAAGGCAGGGTCACCTGGAGCAGTGACACAGGAACGTATCCAGGTGCATTTGGAAAGACTACAGAGAGGGTGACCCCACACCCTCCCGGTTCCACCCGCAATGTAAAGTTCTTCCTCATGCTGAGGTGAAATTCCTTGTATTTTAGTCTATGCCCATTGCTCCTCATCCTGTCATGGGGTACAACTGAAAAGAGTCTGGCACCATCCTCTTGGTACCTGACTTTGAGATATTTATATTCTATTTGAGTATTTATTCTGCATTACAGAATCACACAGTCAACTGGATTAGAAAAGACCTCTGAGATCACCGAGTTTCAACGGACCAAACACCACATCACTCACACCATGGCACTGAGTGCCACATCCAGCGTTTCTTCAAGGACCGAGAGGAACCGTGACTCCACCGCCTCCTTGGGCAGCCTGTTCCAATGTCAAAACATCCCTTCTGAGACGATTCTTCCTGATGTCCAACCTAAGCTGCCCTGGCGCAGGTTAAGGCTCTGCCCCATTGTTCTGTCGCTGGTTCCGTGGGAGAAGAGCCCGACCCACACCTGGCCCACCCTCCTGTCAGGGAGTTGCAGACAGCAGCAAGGTCCCCCTGAACCCCTTTTTCACCAGGCTGGGACGCCCCCTCAGCCGCTCCCCGCAGGATGTGTATAACCGAGATCCCCTCTCAGCCTTCCCTTCCCTGGCCTAAACTCGGGCAGCTCCCGCCGCCTCTCCTGACGGCCCGAGACGTTGGAGCAGCGCATG